TCTCATCCTCTTTAACGTACCTGTGAGCACGGATAGCTTGCTCGAACAACGGGCCCTGTTTGATCAGGAACAGTGGTCCAACCTGTGCAACAAACTAGGTCTGAACATTAGTTCAGCAAAGTTGTGCAGGCTGTACAGGGGTGTCCACACGCCTCGGGGTAAGCCACCCGCATTAATGGTTACACTGTACTCTGTTGAAGAGGCCGAAGCAGTACTGTTAATGGCTCAGGTACTTGCCCTGGAAAGAAGTTCTAACACAAGGGTGACACAAGTTAGACCATGGGCTATCAGACATATGGTGAGGGAGTCACCGGAACTGATGCCTTCCACCACTATGGTGGTACACGGTGTTCCGGGCTGGAAACCGGCACTGCTTGTGAAAAACACATGCACAACGTGCAGCAATGGAGATGGATGTCATCTCAGATGGCCCCTGGCGCTTCTGGAGCCATCTCCATTTTCGGACAACCTCTTCCCGCTCATCTAACATTGATTGACTCTCCAAAGCTGCTATGTGTCACATTCAACTCCCTGGAGCAGTTGTTCATAGCACTTCAACGGTGGTATGAGACCAAGGGAAAAATGGTAGGACACATCCGATGCTGAGAAAGCAGACCCCGAACTATAAGGAGACAGCAAACTGAGGCTTTAATACGTCCCCAAGCTTCAGTGACATTAGAGCGATGCAGTTCTGAGAATGACAGTCTGTGTCACCCAAGTGTCCTGTCTAAATCCATTGAAAAAACTACAACGGGACGGTTCTATCGGAATCGGCCAACTAGTCCCAACGTCAAGTCCCCAAACAGCAGACAGTTTCACGTCAACTACCCCACAACTCTCTGAGGCTGTTAAACTCACTGTCAGCTGCCTATATGGCAATATCAGGGGGCTGAGAGGAAAAGTAGGTGAACTCCGAAATCCCCAAGCACACCTTCAACTGAAAATAATCATTCTCACTGAAACGTGGCTAAACCCCACTATCGCCGACAATGAAATCAGTATAGGTGATATGGTACTGGTCAGAAGAGACAGGGATAATAAGGAAGGAGGGGGAGTTGCTATATACTTTGACAGGCAACTTAAATGTGTGCGCGCAACGGACCCACCACTTTTTGAACTCCCAGACTCCATATGGTGTCATTTCACCGTAGATCACACCAAGCACTTACTAGGTGGCATCTACCGATCTCCCACCTGTAAAGCAGAGCACAATCAGCTACTGCTCAGCACTATCCATAGCTTCTACCACTGCATCAGCTCTTAAATCTACTTCACGGTCAAGTTGTACAAAACTTTTATTCAGCTCAGTAGTAGTAGTACTATGCATTCCACTCATCTCATCACGATCAGCCAAAGACAAATCTGCATTGTCATGACCACTGTCAAAATACCCACTTCACCTCCGTTCGTATGATCAACTTCATCATTTTCAAACTCTTCAATAACAGCAGTAGACAATTTGGGTTCTTCCTCACAAATCTTTAAAGGTTTTATGCCTTTACTCTGACTAGTATTAACTTGTAAAATAGAGGAGTCAGAACTGAACTCTGAAACTGTAACCCTTTTCTCCTGCACAAACTGCGGTGTCGTCTCTGACACTCTATTCAACAACGGCTCACCGCTTGTGACTACAGGCTTCTTCACCGCACCATTATCGTCAAACAATTCGTAGTCAGAACTTTATGACGCTGATTTCACGCTAGGCTTATCACTAAACTTGCTCACTGATTCACAGTTCACCTTTTTATGCACTTCTTGCAAACGTGTAAAACACAACCGTGTTTGTCTCGCGGCTTGTAACCTATCCGTTGACGATGTACCACGAAAGCCGTTACATTCACAAAGTTTATATGCATTACTAGACACCGTCATCATGGTTGAAGAATGGCATGCAACTTATTCTGCAATCAAATCGGAAGGCTTGGTTTACGTCGAGTGTATCTAAGAGTCAGACCGACCACGATGCATACCTGGAAATCAGGAACCGGTGCAATGCAAGAGTCGGGAGGGACGGGAGGTCATTCCAGGCCAAACTTGCTAAAAATCTCCCAGCAAACCCAAAAATTTGTACCGATTCATGTCAGAAAGAATACCGAAAAACCAGGGGGCATGTGCCTTAGTCGGCCAAAACAGTCAATATCTCACTAGTATGGAGATGGCTGAAACATTCAGTTCAGCCTTCGCCAAACAGCTAAACAGCAATGTGCGTATTGCCGGTACAGGCCAAAATGGCGACACTACTATTTCACCGTAGGAAAAGCTAGTGGATACTCCCCAAATAAACCCGACAATAGTACTAAGGAAGCTACAGCGACTCATACCTGAGAAGTCCCCGGGTTGTGACGCCATCAGGTCATCTGTTCTGAAACAGTGCGCCGAAGCTCTCTGTAGACCCCTGTGCGACTTGTTCTAACACTCAATGGATTCGGGGGAACTGTCGAGGGAGTGGAAAAGAGCCATCCTTTCTCCAATCTTCAAAGGTGGGGACAGGCAAAACGCTACTAGTTAAAGACCAGTAGCTCTACTCCCAGTGGTATCAAAAGTACTGGAAAGTATTATTGACGACCACATCAGGAAATATTTCGATAGTTCTAATATACTACATGAAGCCCAACATGGTTTCAGAAAAGGCAGGTCATGCTTTACTAACCTACTGTCAGCTTAGGACGATTGGGTATCATGCTGGGATATGAATGTGCCAGTACATGTGGTCTTCCTAGACTTTGAGAAGGCATGAGACACTGTTCATTATGACATTCTCCTACATAAAATAAGCCAGGCGGGTATAGGTGAGCTACTTCTGTCATGGTTAAAGGACTACCTAGCCAACAGGCAATTTTGCACTAAAGTTAGCCGAGTCCGATCATCTTGGCGCAGATCGTCATCAGGAGTGTCGCAGGGTTCTATCCTGGGACTACTGATGTTTTTGATTTTTATCAATGATCTGCCACGCCGTCTAAGCTGCCCGACTCTCCTGTACGCTGACGATGTAAAAATATTGGGGGCGATAAAGTGTCCGGAGGACTCAGATAAGCTACAGGAAGACCCAAACCTTCTGGAAGACTGGGCGGTGGCAAGTGGCATGTTTTTCAACTTGAAAAAGTGAAAAGTAGTGAAGTTACACATCTGTAGACTGCAAATTACGAGTTACACCTGTGCAATGAAACTTTATCCTGCACAACGCTGGAACGCGACTTAGGTCTAGTTCTAACGGAAAAATGGACACAAGCGTAAATTACGCGGAGGATGTAGCGGTCACACACTTTATTCATAGACAGTCAGGTGCACTCACTCCTGAGCTCCTCCTATGGTTGTACAAAATATACGTCAGACCACACCTTGAAGCGCATATTATTGCACCCGAATGCTTAGAAGAGATGCCAAACTCTTGGAAAGAGTCCAACGACGGGCAACAAAAGGAGTGGTTGGTCTCCGAAACAAACCATATGACGAAAGGCTGAAGAAATTAGGCCTGTTCACACTTAGCTACCGTCGGCTTAGGGGGGGATTTGATTACTGCCTGTATACATTATTATTATTATTATTATTATTATTATTATTATTAGAATAACAAATGACCGAAATCACCCAAACAAAGGTGTTCTGTCATTGAGTTAGTATAGGCGTCTCCTTGGTAATCCCAGGAGGATAGCTCGCCAGAGGGCAAGGACTCGGGTGCTCTCCCACTTCTTTTGACTGCGGGTTTGCCGTCCCTGGAATTCCTTACCGGCAGATGTAGCTATGGCACCGTCTTTGGACACCTCTTAGCGAAGGCTGGACAGCCATGCAGCGACACAAGGACTGCATTCAAATGGCCTATCCCCTTAAAATAGCATTCACCATTCAGGGGTAGACAATTAAATTCGTCGTTTTATTTCTTTACACTCCCTCCCATCTTACTCTCCTGACAACTTTTTAATATTATAATTATTATTACTATTAATATTAATATTAGCGATATATATATTATTCTTCAAACTTAATGAGCTGACTGTTGTTACGCTTTCCTATTTCCGTTTCTGTCTCTTAGTCTGAATAACTTCATTATTTAAATCTATTATTATCTCTTTTCTCTTGTCGACGATACCGGAGGACTAACTGGCGAAAGGATCAACTCCAATCACAGTAGTAACAGTCTTAACACACCTCATACTACAAACTACATATAATTAATCCCAGCAATACTCCTTTTGGAGTCAACCAAAGCTACGACAGTCGATTGGCGGGACAAGCTACGCAGAAGTTTACCGCAGATCAGGAACCTATACCTTACAATCAAGAAGCGAGCACAAAGAAATCAAATTGGTTTATACTAGCTCGTAGAAACGATATTGGACATTGGATATTGATGTAGATGTTAAGACGGAATATTTTCCTAGAAATCATCAAGATATGAGACGACCAGGAAAGATCAGCAGATAGAATGACGCCAAGGTATTTAATTTCATACTTGGTTTCTATTTCAGTGCCATCTATGTTGCACGCCTCGTGAGTGCTAACCAGTCTGTTTGGGTCAGATTTATGCCTAAAGGTGAAATTGACTGTTTGGCATTTCGAGGGGTTTAAGGCGAGACCATTGGCTGACTTCTGATAAAAAGCCGTTTAGTTTGGAGCAGTCATTTTGATATTTGACAGGCAAAGATACAGTCAGGTCGTCAGCATATTTGACAAAATTAATGTCATTTGAAGATGGTAAGTCATGTAGAAAGAAAGAAAAATGAAGTGGGGAGAGTTAACAAAAGTTACGACAGCCGAGTGGCGAGACGAACTACGCAGAAGTTTACCAAATACCATGAACCTTTAGCTCACAATCAAGAAGCAAGCACAAACAAATCCAATTGGTTTATCATAGTTCATTAAAACGATATTGAATATTGAATCCTAAGGTCATTACTCACGATATATCAAAACTGCATACATTCAAGTCTTTTAGTTGGAATCAGTAAGAATCATTAATGTAGACGATTTATATACTACATTAGAACTGTTCAAAAAGAGGTCCTATAGTTTCGAATGTTACTTTTATACCAAAAACGAATTTTGTTCGGATAATATTTATGAAGTGTGATACATCAAAGAAATATTGCTTTCACTTAAGTCATGTTCTGATTATTTCAGGTGTTGTTTTCTTATTTAATAAACGAATTTTAATAATTTATGCTAGGTGGTTTGAGGTAGGAGGTTTTGGCCGACCTAGGTTTCATGACTGTTGACAATCGCCCGTAAGGCGTATCTGGTATATTCAATTGAATATACCTTAAGGTATTTATATTCTTTGTGAGACTCAAACCCGGGTCACCCAGAGTTGCAGTCAGGTATTTTACCACTGAGATACATGAGTTAGCTATTTAACTTGTTTTAGGACTATAGTGGATACTTTGGTTGTACCATTATAGAGTAACATGTCCAGTCTTTTAACTCATAGAACACTAAACAAAGGGGGTAAATTGTACTTGGCAGTTGTAAAAATGACTTTTTTAGACTAATTATCACCCCCAGCTTGTTTTAGTATACAAGCCTGGGAGTTTTCACGCATTGCCTTGGACACTGTTCTGATATCAATTTTGATGTAAGTCTGCCAACTACGTTTATCAGGGTGACGAATTTCAATCGTTTTTCAAGTCATTTCCGTATTTGGTTTGCTTTTCTCCTGTGCACGGTGACATTACACATCGTTTATATACCGGCAAATTGTTATGTAATGTGGAATGCAGTGTGGTGTTAAGGATTGTCTGAGACATGTTTTTAGCCATTTTGAATATTAAAAGCCAGGTTCCATAATGTGTTTTATGAGGGATAGAATTTAATCCCTGTCCTAAAATCACACTATTTATTTCTCCGTTTTTATATGAATAAATGGTTAAATATTGTTCAACCAAGAAATGAGAAAATAATTGCTCAGATTTGATATAGTAGGCCTGTGTAACAGTTCATCAACCAAGCTGATACTTAAAGCAGACAGACATAAGCTGGGCATTGACTACGAATTCAGTAAAACAACTAGGCCACTAATTAGAACTATCATATCAGCAATAAAGAAGAAGTGTATGCATTGTCATGAATAGCAATTGCATCTAACCTGATCGAATGCACTGTGGGCGAAAGCGAAGCATGTCTAAGTTTCCCGCAAGCAAAACTATCATTGGATGAAGTTCAATTTTATCACTTACCAAAAAGTAGAGAAGAGCTACCTACTATAATATACTCTAAAAAGATGGGAGTTAACATAGCAACGTCCTATATAAGCCAACGAACTCTGATAGGTAGAGAGATAGATAGAGGGGTATGTACATTTACCTGTTTTGGAATGAGTTTCTGAAATGTTTGGTTATCTAACTGCGACGAAAACTTGCAGTTTTAAAAACTTTGGTAAAAAATTCATACTTACATGAATACCACTGTCACCAAATAATTTACGGAGTTCATTAAAATTCATAACTGAAATGGGTACGAGTAAGTGAAGTTGTGAATCCATTTTTTTCTTTCCTTTACGTTCCCCAGTGGAACATAGGGCTGCAAGCTAGTGGCTTAAAGTTTCTGTAGCATTGTTTATTTTACAGAATGGGGTTGCCAGCCTCATACCCAACCTTTCCTCTTTACCAGCATTATTTCTGGCTCAGCGAGGTAAATGAGTGCGTCCGCCAGGGATCGATCCCCGGACCATGTGCATGGTCGGCGAGCGTCTTAACCACTAGGCCACCGACGCACTGTGAATCCGTAGGGGACTTAAAAGCGAGTTCGGTAACTTAACAAATATAATTATCTAATTTATTCCAAAAGGCAGTACTAATAATACAGAACGGAGTTCTCAGCATTTTTGACAATATTTAATCTGATTCACTGAAAATATAAATAAAATAAAAATAAATTTAACTAGAGGAATTTCTCCACAATTACCGCTTAAAGTCGAAAAATTTGAAGCACAAAATGGGAACATTAACTATAATTATAACAGTGGGTTTGTTTCAAACAGTATCGTCGATTCAGTTTGGAAATTTTAGCACGTTATATATTATTGAATCTAACTCTCTGTTTATATAGCATGGGGAGGGAAGAGACAAAAATAAAGTTATTACATAGCTTAAATGATATTCACATCTATTAGAAAATAAATAAAAAATGGCTAGGATTGTTAATTTGAGAACACAAATAAAAAAGCTTGACAGAAAAGGATGGAATAAAAATAAAAATTAAGGAAATAATATTATAACAGTATATTATAAAAATAATGTTAACGAGTGCTATTAATTATTGGTCACTGCTGATGCAGATGAAGACTTCTTCTACAAATCATTTATATAGTCCACAGAAGCGTTCACTGCTAGAGTCATATCTACTAGCAGAAGCTGTGAACCGGTTGTAGAATAGTCTTCGGATGAGGATCAGAGGTTCCTGAGAAAATTCAAAGGACGCAACACAGTTTGTAGTGATGCAAGTAGACAGTATGGAACAGTGAGAAAACGAAGCGTTGAGCAGCACGCTGTATTTCAGTTTGTACTCCGAAGTTGTGTATATTTTACAATGAATCGTTTTAAACAAAATTTATGTACATTGTTTCCGTTTTCAGAAAACAGAAAGATTGAACGAAGAAACGTTTACTTTACCATTAGATCCTCATCTCTGGCTCTTCTCTAATAGACATAACATTTTTATTCAAATATACAACAGTTTACCAATCAAGTGGCGATATGTTTGTTAACAATAATTAGTCAGTGTCAAAATCTCAATGGGTTGATAATTAACGAAGAAAATCAATACACATTCAAAAGGTAGAAATGTTTAGAATAAATTAATTTTACAAGGATAACACGTAATTAAAGATGAAGTGGTCAGAAAAAATAAAATAATTTGCACAATTATAATTTTTATAATTTTAAAGGTTTAGGAGGAAGGGGGCGAAGTAGTCCGGTTTATACATTCTTGTAACAATGGCCAAAGTAAGGAAAGTGGCTGTACAAATTTCTTTTGAACGCACAGGTTTGCTTCTTCAGGTGGATTCTTATTGCTTCAGCTGTCTGTAGAAAACGAACTCGTAGAGTAAAATTAAGATTAGTAGGAGCGCGATAAATAATTTTCAATCCTGTATTAACGTCAACCTTATGCTCACTATCTACGAGGTGTGCTACAATAGAGCTACGAACAGATCTTGTTTGTCCCTTGCTTAACCATCTGGATGATGTTCGGAAATAGGATGATGAACCTGCCTAATTGTACGCCCAATGTAGCTGGCTCCGCAGCTGTAGTCAAACTGATAGATACACAAAAGAGGCAAATTTAGAGTAGTTTATCCTTATTTTTTGAAAGTAGAATAGAAGCTGTTGTGAAGAGACAACGTGACTCTGCTGCATAATGAGCTCTTTTAACTGCATTCTTCAGGTGCTGTGTTAATATTTTGCTGATGTAGTCACTGAGGAACTGCAGTTTTGTGAATATTGGTTTTTTCGGAACTGTTGGCATACTGACTCTCCTAGGCTCTGAATTCATATTGTTCTCAACGAATTTATCTGAAGAATGCAGTTAAAAGAGCTCATTATGCAGCAGAGTCACGTTGTCTCTTCACAACAGCTTCTATTCTACTTTCAAAAAATAAGGATAAACTACTCTAAATTTGCCTCTTTTGTGTATCTATCAGTTTGACTACAGCTGCGGAGCCAGCTACATTGGGCGTACAATTAGGCAGGTTCATCATCCTATTTCCGAACATCATCCAGATGGTTAAGCAAGGGACAAACAAGATCTGTTCGTAGCTCTATTGTAGCACACCTCGTAGATAGTGAGCATAAGGTTGACGTTAATACAGGATTGAAAATTATTTATCGCGCTCCTACTAATCTTAATTTTACTCTACGAGTTCGTTTTCTACAGACAGCTGAAGCAATAAGAATCCACCTGAAGAAGCAAACCTGTGCGTTCAAAAGAAATTTGTACAGCCACTTTCCTTACTTTGGCCATTGTTACAAGAATGTATAAACCGGACTACTTCGCCCCCTTCCTCCTAAACCTTTAAAATTATAAAAATTATAATTGTGCAAATTATTTTATTTTTTCTGACCACTTCATCTTTAATTACGTGTTATCCTTGTAAAATTAATTTATTCTAAACATTTCTACCTTTTGAATGTGTATTGATTTTCTTCGTTAATTATCAACCCATTGAGATTTTGACACTGACTAATTATTGTTAACAAACATATCGCCACTTGATTGGTAAACTGTTGTATATTTGAATAAAAATGTTATGTCTATTAGAGAAGAGCCAGAGATGAGGATCTAATGGTAAAGTAAACGTTTCTTCGTTCAATCTTTCTGTTTTCTGAAAACGGAAACAATGTACATAAATTTTGTTTAAAACGATTCATTGTAAAATATACACAACTTCGGAGTACAAACTGAAATACAGCGTGCTGCTCAACGCTTCGTTTTCTCACTGTTCCATACTGTCTACTTGCATCACTACAAACTGTGTTGCGTCCTTTGAATTTTCTCAGGAACCTCTGATCCTCATCCGGAAACTATTCTGTTTTCTAAATGTCTAAATTGGGTTTCGTTATTTAACATCCAACAAAAATGGTACAATCACATTTTTTCAGACTACACAAATGTATCAAAAAGATAACTACTGAATGTGAGGAAAGAAAGAAGAAACATTGTAAGAGAATCATCTGGATCCATTTTATTTCGTCGATTCTCATCGGCTGCGTACAACCCGAATTCTTCGATAAAATAAAAATGTGTACAATTTTAACAAATTTTTGTCCACTAGCAAGTATATTGTCCGAGCCTCTTGGAGAACTAAGACGTTTTGATTTACAAGGCGTCTAAAGTTTTACTATATATATATTTTTTTAACTCATGGAAAATTCCCATTATAACATATAGAACATCAAAAGAAGTGATTCTGCGAAGATGCTCTTTTCAACGTATTTATCATCAAGCTGTACAGTCGTTTATATATCGTTTTTAAGAAGTTATATCCGGTGAGGGAATTGAATCTTAGGTGTGAACGCATTAAATAACAATAATAATCAGATGAAGTTCAATTAAAGCCAAAATATTTGTGATTATAACCGTAGTTAAATGTCAAGTGGCAAAGCAAAATCTGTATATCTTGGTGGAGAGAAGTTTCTTGAAAATAATTAATTAACAGTTGTGTTTTCGGGGTGGTAACAAAAGAAAATTACTAATAATTACATAATTAGATAAGAGAAGATCAAAATTTCGGTGGACTTGAGGTCAGATGAGAAGTTAATGATGTAATACAGCGGACAGAACTCAGAAGATCAAGAAAAATTATCTCTTAAGAGAGTCAAGCGAAAAATAAAGGGAGGGTTGGAGTGAAAAGATAAGTTAACAAAATTAGAAAACAAAGAGTTACTAAGAAGTAAGTCACCAGGTAATTGAGGTCCGACAACGGATTCTTTTTGGATACATAAGTCAGGCTTCAATCGTTTTATTGCTATAGCTTCAGTAAACCTGAGAAGACTTGAGGTACTTTGTCTGTTAATTATTTTGAGTGATTCCAGCACATCTACTTGGTGTCCTGTGTCAATCAGGTGTTTGGCGACTGAAGAGCTTAAACAATTCGGCTCCTTTAACCGGAGGCTCCTTGGTACATGTTCTCAGAATCTGACGTAGGCCCTCCTCTCTGTTCTCCCTATGTTACTACTCCTGCAGATACATTTGAATTGGTATACACAGTTGGAGGTAACATGTGAAGGGTACTTGTCAATCTTTGAGTACACTAGTGGGGAGGTTGATTAGAGGTAGAGAGACTAATAATTCTGCAGGATACGTCCTAGACAGGTTTGCGCCTAATCTTTTATTTACCATTCTCATAATGCCGTCAAATTCGACTACAAGAGCGATGTCAGATTCTGAGAACATGTACCAAGGAGCCTCCGGTTAAAGGAGCCGAATTGTTTAAGCTCTCCAGTCGCCAAACACCTGATTGACACAGGACACCAAGTAGATGTGCTGGAATCACTCAAAATAATTAACAGACAAAGTACCTCAAGTCTTCTCAGGTTTACTGAAGCTATAGCAATAAAACGATTGAAGCCTGACTTATGTATCCAAAAAGAATCCGTTGTCGGACCTCAATTACCTGGTGACTTACTTCTTAGTAACTCTTTGTTTTCTAATTTTGTTAACTTATCTTTTCACTCCAACCCTCCCTTTATTTTTCGCTTGACTCTCTTAAGAGATAATTTTTCTTGATCTTCTGAGTTCTGTCCGCTGTATTACATCATTAACTTCTCATCTGACCTCAAGTCCACCGAAATTTTGATCTTCTCTTATCTAATTATGTAATTATTAGTAATTTTCTTTTGTTACCACCCCGAAAACACAACTGTTAATTAATTATTTTCAAGAAACTTCTCTCCACCAAGATATACAGATTTTGCTTTGCCACTTGACATTTAACTACGGTTATAATCACAAATATTTTGGCTTTAATTGAACTTCATCTGATTATTATTGTTATTTAATGCGTTCACACCTAAGATTCAATTCCCTCACCGGATATAACTTCTTAAAAACGATATATAAACGACTGTACAGCTTGATGATAAATACGTTGAAAAGAGCATCTTCGCAGAATCACTTCTTTTGATGTTCTATATGTTATAATGGGAATTTTCCATGAGTTAAAAAAATATATATATAGTAAAACTTTAGACGCCTTGTAAATCAAAACGTCTTAGTTCTCCAAGAGGCTCGGACAATATACTTGCTAGTGGACAAAAATTTGTTAAAATTGTACACATTTTTATTTTATCGAAGAATTCGGGTTGTACGCAGCCGATGAGAATCGACGAAATAAAATGGATCCAGGTGATTCTCTTACAATGTTTCATCTTCCTTTGTTCAAATTTATAAAGGGGAATCATTGTATCAAACTACTGAAGAGTGATTCGTGAAGCTTTTCATAGTGTGTAACGTTCATAAGTGGTGAATATATCCACCTTCTTGTAATTAAATTTCGCTTATATCACTAACAGTCATTAGTGATTGATATCTGGCTTCCTGACGAGCAAGGCCAGGTACTGTGCACAAAACTACCAGTCAAAATATTCATATATTGACATTATATTTTATTTGGCCATCTCTGCCTCTTCCAGTCTGGACTTACTTAGTCTATTATTGGGATCTATATTGTTTGAAATGGCTAGGACACGTGTTATGTGTGACAGATAATTTTTTTTACACATAAAGCTATGCTAGGTGACAAAGCATTGATGTGGAAATTGGTTAGAAGTGGTCAAACCAATAAATAACAATAATCAACGAAGTCTTCGGTTGTTGGCTTCAGTCACGTGGGGATGAGCATTCTACCTGAAGGGGGCTTTTGATACGCTAAAGAATAATAGTTAAAGATTGTTAGTGATATGGCTCATCCACTATTTGTAGACTATTGGATCTATTAATTTCTCGTCTAGACCAAACACTTATTGTTGTCTGATCAGCCTTCAAACCAGTATTCATTCAAGTTATCGCTTATACATACATCTACATTAGAATTGTATAAAATGAGGACTTCAGACAATTTTTGCCTAAATAGTTGGTGAATGTAGCTAAAATCTCATTTTTTTCGTTTCTTCGCCACCAATAGTTGTTCGTATTCTTCTTGTAGGCCTATAGTTCTCTTATCTTTTTCATTAGTCAACTAACAGCCCCTCAGATAGTACATTACACTCACGAAAGGGCCGTTTGGAGAACGTTCCTTAACCTTCTTTAATGATTGAGCTGATGATGTCAACTAGTAGTTCTTTTTGGTAACGATAGCGAACTCAAATATAAGATGGAGATTAGCGAAGATGGTTTGTTCATCGTTTCAGTCATTCTAAATTTTTGTTCTACATCCAATAAAAATGGTTCTGAATTTTAAAGTATTGGTTTGCAGGGATTTGGTTGATTGGTCACAGGATTTTATGAGTTGACATCAGTTAGAGAACCATTGGAAAACCTGGGAGTACTGGACAACTGTTTCGTCCTAGTTTGGGACTCTTCATCAGTACGCACGCACTGAGGCTCGTACTGATGAAGAGTTTCAAATTAGAACGAAACAGTTGTCCAGTACTCCAAGGTTTTCCAATGGTTCTGTAACCAAGGTTCTGAATTTATTGTACAAATTTATTCTCGGTTAAAGACGTGGTTTTACTTCGAAACATGGCTAATGTCAGCCTCTGCAGACTCATGAAAGCGTATTTTCGAAAACAGAATATGCATACTTATTAAGGAACTAAATACATAGTCTTAGAAGTGTTACATTTATTTAAAAATTGATGAAAGATCAGGAAAAATGCATTTATTTGTCTGACAACTTTAAATTCTTCATATTTCTTCTACTTTTATGCTTTCAAAGCAGTCTGATCTTAGAGTCACAGTTGAAAATATGAAACTCAAAATTACATCCTAAAAGAGAATGTTATTTGTTCATTTTTTCAACACTACTTATTTAACGATTTCCGTATAAAATGTATAGATTAAACAGTCCACAATACGCGAAAATTACACAGTTTAACAGTTGTGTTATTTTAATCACACTTCTCATTTTCGATCAGTGAATGAAATAAGTTAACGTCTCTTGTGATAACATTTTTATATTTTGAAATAATAAAATCAACTGAAATGCTTACACTCAAAGTAGTTATGTGCGATATTGTGTTGCTGTGATAGAAAATCATTGTAAAGACAGAGGAGAGGTTAATCGCATGAGAAATCCTAAATTTAGTGAGATTTCCATACAACCGGTTCCCTTAGTATGAATAAAGAAAGTACGACGAACATATTTGCGGGATAATACGAACTCGTTTTATTTTGTCGATTGTCTTCAACTGCGTATATCCCAAATAAATCAATTATATGTCACAAAATAGCATTTGAACATACTTTTTAAAATGAATTCAAGTTATTGATGAAATTTATAAGCAACATAACTTCAAAGATGATGTAAGTAGACACTTATTTAGTGTTAAAAGATTAAACATTTATATAGTAACTAGATCAAAAGGTGGATTTCAGATTTTGCTTGGAAACAAGGATGGACTAGGGCAGAATACAAGATAGAGCAACAGATTTCATTTATACATATTATGGTGGAGAGTTCAAGAAGGTGGGTGTGAACAGTGCAGTAAGACTATGAAATAGTCAGTGGCTCAATGGTCTATGAGCTCGCCTTGTAACCATAAGGTCCTGGGTACGAACCCGGTGGGTGCGCACTGTGAAGAGTCCCAAACTAGGACTACAGGAACAGCTGTCCAGTACTCCCAGGTTTCCAGTGGTTCTCTAACTGATGTCAGCTCATGGTGAAATCCCCCATGCAGTCAAAAAATAATTTAATTTAGTAGATTTGAAGCCTTAACAGTGAGTTCAAATTAATTAGTGAAAATCAAAGTCTAATTTAAGTGGAATGTTATACGATTTACGTTACCATATTTATTCCTCTAAATTTTCTTGAAGTGATATCGAGTTTATGACAATCCGAAATACTAGAAGTAAACAATTCGCCCATAAATTGCTAAACAAATAGTTTCTAAAGTATACGGCATTTCATTGATGCACAGAAGAGACTTCGGTGTTTAAGACGTCATTCAGGCCAATATTAAACAGTATTGCTTGTTATGCACTGCAACGTGTGTATCAGTCAAGTGAATCAGAGTCGTCTGTTACCCTGTTGTCAGAAAACAAGCTCAATTCATGGATTTGAAATCCCTAATCGTACAAATGTCACACCTTATTTAGAGGGATAATTCAAACATAACGTATTCGAAAATCTTAACAAACAGAATATATTTAAACTCGTACGATGACAATATGTAGCTTGTTTAACCTAAGTGGAATCTTAGAGTACTCAGACAGAGTCAATAAAAGTTTTGTAATGAATTCCATGTACTAAGCCACTAATTCTACGTTAATGAAAGTGAATGGAGTATAACAGCAATGTTATGTTCATTTCCAGTACGAAATCTAGAATACTGAAGTGGTCAACAGGATGACTATTCTATGCTACAGAATTGGCTTGGAGTGGATAGCACTTTTACTGGCCTTAATTATGAGCACCACATTTTTGCTAACGTAAGTTAAATGGTAAGATAGATATTTATCAATATAGTCATTTTAATTACGTCATTTCCTAGATCTTTGAAAGTTTTTAAACAAGTTACTGCCCAAACAGTGAAGATAAAAAGTTTCTCCACTTTTCTAGAATGATATGAGTGAAATACTTATCATAACTTGAATAAGTAATTTATCCAAGACTGAAATATTTCTTTACTCATGAGTTTTTTGTTTGGTATATTTTAGAAGAATGGGTTCAATAAAAGGGTAGAACACAGAGACGATTTGCTGAAATAAGTCAGATTTTGTTTGGTGCTTAAGTTACTTTACTCTTATGTCGATTCTCGCATAAAGAAAGACAAAACTACACTCATTATATTAGAACTATCAGAAGTCATACCGCTTTATATAGTGAATAAGAAATTGATTCTATCCAGTCATTGTTTGCACCAAAATATCTATGAAATTTCGTCTTATCAATACAGTGCGTTTATCCAATTATGGTAGTTTATTTCTATGAATTTCCTATTCATTATTAGCTATGAAGGTAACAACTAGCTGTCTTTGAGTATTCGTATGGTGTTTATTTACAATGATCAGATGACCAACTTGCATACTTGAAGAAAGTTATTCACTGACAACAGCACCAAACCACATTCATTTATGCCTTCGCCAAAAAATGTAGGTTATTATAACTGAGGAATCGAATTTTTCTAAAGGTAGTGAAAATACTGATCAAAAAACAATGGCACTACAAGTGGTGTTTTCATGTCAACCCAAGTATGTCGGTGCTAAAATCAGTTTCCACTGGAAGTTTTAGTTTTATATCTAAATAAACTGTCGGTAACATGAATTTCTTGCTTTTATGATTTACAAAGTTTAATTGCTTGCTATCAGTCTTTAACCGCACCTCTTTACTAAGAAGGGATAGCCATTTAGTTACCTAACCATGAATGTAATCAAATTTTCCATATAAGAGGGCAGGTTTCGTAACGAGCTGAAATCACTAAGCGTTCAATAGGGTTTTTCTTGTTTAAACCTGTTTGGCTTAGAGCAAGGTATTATTCTCCAAAACACAATACACTACCCTGATGAGTATTTTATGTGAAAAGTTGTTCACAAGTATGTGATTGTTATAATGTCTTGTCAGTTAAGCATCAGGTATTCTTGTAAATTATGCGAAGGGCAGTTAGGTATGGAGTAGTTACAGCAGTCGCTATCATTTTTATGAGCTCAGCATGGATTCTAAAAAAAAAATCAAAATTTATCGATAATGTTCACAAATGAAAATTAATGAAACGACTAACTTTAGCATGAGATTGAAGTCAGCCTCCTCTTTCAGAAAGCGATTTATGTTGAAAAAAAGAATAGCACAAAACATGCGTTATCCAAATACATCAACTAAAGTATTTCTTCATTAAAACTTTGAGGAGTTAGATACTGTTGAATGGAAATGGTCCATGAAAGCTAATTGGAAGTGGTTGAAATTCATGTGACGCTGAATTTCAAATTGTAGGTTAAGTAGTGACGTCATAGCATACTCTTCTGAGTGGTTGAAAATCACTCAAGTCAAATGGTAGTGTATGCTTGCCAGATTGAATTGGTTTCAATACTGGATGCGTGTTCAGCTGATTTTAGACCTAACTCATCAGAAAGGTATCATGGCTGATTCGAATTAGTAGACAGAATCAGTTCACATCGCCTCCCACGACGGGCATTACTAGCTGACATAGGTGCAGGTTGGAAAAGAGCCAGTGGTGGCCAAAGAAAAACATGGCATCAATCCATGAAATCCTTGACAGTTAAACTGAGTCAGGTAGGGAGATGCAGACTCCCGGGTTGGGGCCCTCGGGACTCTAGGAATCAATGGCTGGAGACAATAGGTGACATAGCTCAAAATCGTTGTCAATGGCGCAGATGTATTCAGTCTCTGTAATCTTTCATATTTCTTCCTACCATTACCCATTCTGTTTCACTCTTATACTTGTCAAACTCTATTAATTCTCTTCACTCATCTTCTTGTCTACCTTTGTGTGCTATTTGGAACGTGGCAACTCGAACTGGTGCACTTCGGTGCCAAGTTCTGTGTTGAATCCAGACAGACAGACACCTTCAGAGTTCTAGTTAACCACTTCGGCGAACTGGTTATTTGTAACCTACACAGTCCTACGTGAGAATTTACCACAATTTACTTCTGGAATCCAAAAATATTACAACTAGTCATATCAACCAATAGCGCATACCATCATAGTATCTTGTTTGCTGTTTTGTTCACCACTTTTGATATCATGTTAGTCACACATATTATGATTCGAGTGTTTTTAGATTATCAAAATAAACTGAGGTCAGTTACCACCCCAAAATGTTTAATTTGCAAATGACTAGTGTGATTCTGCGCGCTGAAATGCCAATCTGATAATATTGTATCCAGTTTATCGTGCAGAATTATGTATGTATTACTATGAAATAGAAATTTTCTCCGTATTTAGTTGTTCCCTAGTAGATAACTGTTTGTCAAAAAATAAATATCACTCACTCTCTATCAAACGTTTGCAAAGTTTAACATCTTAATTTTCTATATTTCTATGAAGTTATGGATTGCATGAGTATTTCTTGATAATGATAATGACAATAGGTTTATTCCAGAACAGTACTTGTCATGCAGAATGGAAATCTCAGCATTTTACTACAGTATTGCATCCAGTTAGTACATTAACAATAAATAAATAAAATTCTACATAGATTAAGGGTAATCTCGGTTACTTTTGACAACAACATATTAGCATGTTGGTAGCAAAGCCAAAATTAAACAGAGTGTTTGTGAAGGTGTTAGAAAAGTAGGTTCTAGCATATTTTCTGGCGTAAGCAGAAGAAAGAAACAAAGTGGCACATAACAGAGGAAAAAGAGGAGAGAGAAAAGGAAAAGAAAGAAAGAAAACGTTGTAACTATAAATGATATGAGTTAGAAAGACGAGATCCAGTTGTTCTACTGACTATTTAATAAGTTATAGGTTTCACGCCTAATGCTTTCTTTACCGCACAGAACACGAGCTAAGTAGGGTATGGATGAGTTTTGTACTTGCATGTGCGAGCATATAGTTTTCTATATAGGCTTCTGGATTTACCTGATGAGATTTCTGAAACAGAGAGTTGTGAATGAAGAGGGTGTTGTGAGTTAGATGAAATGGATTTAGCCCATTTTTCACATGAGTTCAAGTGCCCGTCTACCAGAATATTAACAAGCTGGTTAAGTGGCACGTAGCTTACCCTGCTAACAACCTTTAACATCCTGCGTAATAAGGTATAGTCTTTCTTCAGTAGCCAGCCCTGGAACAACTAAGTGGGAACAATAGAGAATAATAGGCAGCATATGGGAGTTAACGAATTGTAGGAGTAAGGGTTGGGTTATGCCAGAATGTCTTAATTTCTTGATGTAGAAGTTAAGATGGAATATTTTCTTAGAAATCGTCAAGGTATGAGACGACCAGGAAAGATCAGCAGATAGAATGACACCTAGGTATTCAATATTCCACTTGGTTTCTATTTCAGTGCCATCTACGCTGCACACCTCGTGAGTGCTAACCAGTTTGTTTAAGTCACATTTATGCCTAAAGGGGAATTTGACTGTTTGGCATTTGGAGGGGTTTAAGGTTAGCCCGTTTTCCTTGGACCATTGGCTGACCTCTGATAAAAAGCCGTTTAGTTTGGAGCAGTTACTTTGATATTTGACAGACAAAGATACAGTATTTATATACTTCGGTGGTTTGTCGCTGAATAATCATTTTCACTAAAATAAGAGTTTAGACTTTGACTCTGCTATACATGATCAATAATATGAGCTTCGAGCCTATATGATAGCCTACATAGGCGATAATTGCTAAAAGATTTGGTAATGACAGACAATTTAAAATCTAACAGTAAGTAAAGGCATTCTCTTGTTTTCAGACAAAAAAATAGCAAAAAAACGTTTACATAAGCAGTAAACTTAAAAAAAATTTATTAAGTAAACATCTTTGGATGGCGCATTTCATGAAAAGATGTCTAAGCTATTTCTCATATAGTAGTTCTTGACATTCTGAGTTTATAGTGATGAATGATGCCTACGGTAACAAAAATGAACTTGTGTTCTATTTCGATAAATTGGATTTTTAGATTTCAGCATTTAACTGTATCAATTATATTCAATTACTATATCTGCCAGAATTTTATTCTCCTCTCTTTATTTAGATATTATATTTCGGTATATAGAGGACATGTGAATGCGGAGTTACCATTCATCAGGTAAGTGTATGTATGTTGTTTTTGATTATTCAGATGTGCCCTTGTGCAAAAACTCTAATATTAAAACGACATTTATATTCAAATGCAATTTCCTAGAAGTTAGAATATATCAGTGGTTAGGATTTTCGCCGACCATGCACATGGTCCGAGGTTCGAGCCCACGCCGACGCACACCTGATGTCTATGGTCGGCCTGTGAAATTTGGGCTACCGATATCCACGCTGAAAATTCCATACTTGCGCCAAAAATACAGTGTGGAATCAAGCTGTAACCAAAAATAAAAAAGAATAAAAAACAGAAGATTTAAAGGAAACAGTTGAAAGGAAATGGTATAAAGCAAAACGAAGAGTAAAGGAACGGGATAATGTTTGGAATTTTACTTTGTTCCAGTGTGATTAGATACTTGGAACACTATTTTACTTCACCTCAAACCCTTTTTGCATTGCTTTTATTTGTGTTACTGTTCAGCGCATACATGAGTCCAATAAACATCAGTAATCTAAGGTATTATTCTGACTTGAATAATGAAAGTTATTCAGAACAGTGTCAGCAAATCATTCATTGGCTTAAAGCAGAAATGTCACATTATCTCAGAAGTAGGAGTGTAACAACAGAAGACAAGTGGCAGGCAACAGATCGTTTATTCAGGAAATCAACACATATTTATAGAGTTTTATGTACATTACTATAGATTATTGTAAGCAAACAAACACAGTCTTTTGATTGGGTGTCTCTCACTGAACGTTAATCTTTCATCTCTTTGTGGCTATTTTTTGAATGTCAGATCATCTGTATGCTGACTGTATCCACCAACGCTAAGTCTGATGTGATTGGTTGTTGAATCAGTCTTTGTTCTTATTTTTCTCACGACCAATATTGGGGACGCAAACATTACTGTCTACCGATTTGGCTAGCAGCCAGCTCTCACCACAGAAGGACTATTACTAGTGGCGAGGGTTATTTAGATTGCCAATTAAAAAAACACTCAGTAAGAGGACGAATAGTCCACGAAGTAAGATAGATTTGAGAAGATGGCAATGCAATAAGAGGAATATGCTTCGCATCACTGAGGGAAAACTGATTTACTGATACCATCTGTTGTTCAAGAAGAATATGAAGTGAGAGAATTTCAGACACACTACAGAAATACATATTCATGGTATACATTTAATCAGTTTGAATGCAAGGGGCATTCATGAGCTTTTCCAAAGTATCTTCTCAATAAACTTTTAATTTTCTACTATAAACAAAAACAATTATTCGTTGATGATGGGATTAGTAAAGCTCTACCAAATTGCTGTTTATGGTTGTGGTGGGAGCAGGCTGCTAGCCAATTGGTAGACATTAATTTACGTCAATGTCTAGGTCACTAATATTTACCGTGAGAAAATATGAACAAAGCTGGTTCAAAAACCAATCAGACCAGACTTAACGTGGGCAAATAAGATTCGCAAATATATGCCTCCACTTTCCGAGGTTACCCGAAACAACTAATCAGAAGACTGTGTTTGTCTGCTTGAATAAGCTATAATAATGTACATGAAATATATATAAATACGTGCTGATTTCCGTAATAAAACGATCTGTTACCGGCCCTTGTCTTCTGTTGTTACATGGTTAAACTTTATTTAGAGGTGATATTAATTTTGAATAACTGTAGAGCAAATTCAGATCGTCCAAAAATACCGAGTTAAACCCTAATAACTTTTCTAACATTAGCGAAAGTTAATGATGAAAAGTTTGTCTATTTATCAGACTGCTTTAGTCAGACTGACACAAATTCTAAAGAATAGATAGATTCTAACCAGCATCATAGATCTCTTAGCCAAGTAGCACCAGCTAGCCCTATCTTCTTCGTGCTTATTTTAATCTAAAGTATGAAAATCAAGTCGGAAATATTACAAATAATCACAGGAGAACCACAAAAAGATTATATTTACCTCAAGATACAGAATCATGTTGGATTGCTCATTTAACTGGTGTATAGTATTTTTGATTGAACACTAGCAACTAGTGTGACGTGTCTAGTCCGTTCTTTGGTGCAGGGTGAATTCTATCAGTCAGGTTTTGCAACGTGACCACCATTCTAGGTAGCCCGCGATCACGGTGCACATATTAGATAGTTGGAGGCAATCGGCAGGAAGCCGTGGAAGGATATTAAGAATGATTAGTGGTCTAATGTCGTGATTTATTCAGTTATAGTTTCAATATCTTGATTGAAAAATACATATTGGTTAGAATGGTTGGTTCTTTTTAATTCTGAATGATTTACACATACTCATGCCTACTATATGATTGATTCTCGTCATGTATTCGTCGGAGGCTGTTTCATGTATTACACTCTTGCAGGCATTTGAAAGTATTATACTCAGCTAAAAGACTGAAGAATATCTGGTTACTGTAGATTAGATATCAATAATTAGTTCTTTCAAAATCACTTGTACATATCCAGGTCAAACTCAATGTTAATTGGTCAGTTCAAAGTGAAAACACTCGAATATGAACAAGCCACATAGCAACAGGAAAAAGCACTACTTCAAGACAAATTTCATAAAGTATTTTCGTGTGGTGCTGCAGAATCAGCAGATTGAATCAAAGTGATACCAAAATACTTAAGTCAAACCAAAGTTTAGGCAATAACTAGACAATTGTTTATTTCGGAAACTTCAAAAGGAATGTCATCCATTCATGTTCTACTGTTACAACAGAAGACAAGGGCCGGCAACACATCGTTTTATTACGGAAATCAGCACGTATTTATATATATTTCATGTACATTATTATAGCTTATTCAAGCAGACAAACACAGTCTTCTGATTGGTTGTTTCTTGCTCAAGGTTATTCTGCAGCGCTTGTGACTGGTTTCTCAGAAAGTTAAGCCATGTATCTGCGAATCTTATTTGCTCACGTTAAGTCTGATGTGATTGGTTGTTGAATCAGTCTTGTTTATATTTCCTCAAGGCCGATATTAGTGACCTAGACATTGACGTAAATCAAAGTCTACCAATTGGCTAGCAGTCTGCTCTCCCCACACTACAAACATTCCCTAACTACTAGATGAACAGATTAAATAGGAAGAAACAGAAGACATTCATTCACATTTTTATTCACACATAATGGAATCATATCGATTTCTCTCATGTAGCACTAACGCAAAAGTTCAGCGTAACTGAGACAAATCTGTTAATAGAAACAACAGCTCAGAAAATTTCCATGTTATAAGCAACTTGGTTTTTACACCATCCTGTAATGGCCAAGGAAATAAACATTGGAAGAAAAGAGGGATTTATGGGAATTTGCAATTCTGCTATTAATTAACCAGCCAGTTTTATTTATGTTAATAACTGTCGGTGGTACATATCCGTCTTTCGAGGATGATGTGCGCAAATATTGAAAGAGGTTTAGTTATATATATATATATATATATATATATATATATATATATATATATATATATATTATTCGTTGTAAGACTTTCATCCTTCGATGTTCATAATAATCACTTAAACAAGAATCGGGAAAATGAGACAGTAATTATCCTTATTCGGTGTAGTTAATTTTTATCTAAGAAATTCGATGAACCAGTTTCAATGAAACTTTAGTCTCTCGTATTCAGCAGCTTATTTCGTTCACCACTGAATGCAGCAAACATTTGAGCCAAACAACAATAAATTTTACTTAAAGTGAAAACTACATTCAAAAATATTTTCAAACTCATCACGAATATTGAATAGAAAACTGGATTTATCTATATTTCATACACAAAATGCTAAATTCTATTAGATAATATAATTTCACTATCCCATAGAAGAATGAGAAATCTCAGACTATGTCTTTTATACGTATTAGTCGATCAAATCGAGACGGAGACTATTAAAACTGAACTTTCACAATAAGTCCATCTTGACTTTTCAGTTGAATAAAGCATATATTTTCTGTAGTTTTTTTAAAGAAGAAATTATTATTCCACGTCGTAATGATGGTGGCTAATTAGAAACACATTGTTGAATACTGTATGGAGGAATTCATCATGAGCTGACATCAGTTAGCGTACAGCAGGTTGAAGATGAGGCAGTAATTCATCGAAGAAGATATTGCTAAATGGTCGCGCTATGTCGGGAATTGGCAGAAGTTAGAATTTTAAGGACCATTGGATCGGGTCCCATTGGCTCAATGGTCTACGAGCTCGCTAGACTTGTAACCAGAAGGTCCTGGGTTTAAACCTCTGCAGTGGGCAAGTATTGCTGAAGAGTCCCGAACTAGGACCACAGAAACAGCTGTTCAGTACTCCCAGCAGGTTTCCCAATGGTTCTGTAACTGATGTCAGCTAGTGGTGAAATCCTCCGTGCAATCAAAACAAATCCCTACAAAATCAATACTTGAAAAATGTTGAGTATTGACGGAGTTACGTTTTATGAGTTTATGCATCTTGTGGATCATTTAAGTGGAGCCTTTTTGAATTCCACTAAATATTCATTCAACATTACTAATTGTGGTAACATATGTAAAGCTATTAGGAAATTTAATGGACTGAAAAAGAAGAGTTTCATTCTTCACTATCTCATTGATGAGATTTTGAATATTTGTATTCGGTTAATGTCTCTCTGCATGTGGTGGTAGGGAATTTGTTAATCTGAGTTTGATTTTTAACGGTGTATTTTTCGGCACTCCAGAAAATGTTATTTATATTTATCATGTATAAATAAATTACTTCCATAGAATTGTAATGTCAGTATACAATAACAATCAGTTTTTTATGTGTGTTGAAGGTCGACAACCAGTGGGAATACTAAAGTGTGATAATATTGGTGTTTGTGATTGTGAGGTTAAGCTTCATTTATTTATTTATTTATTTATTTATCTATTCATATATTTAATTAATTTGTGACTCATAATCGCATATACCAATATTACATCACTTTAGTATTTCCACTCAGTCAAACTTTAACAGATACAAGAAATTTAAAACAATTAGTTCCTTTTATTCCATATTAGTTTGATTATTAAATGTATCACACAGTGAAACAGTATTGTATACTGGATGACGTTTTGAACACAATTTATTGTTCATAATCATATCAATTTTTGTCACACGACTTCGAGATTTGACTTTTATAGTTTTCTCTGTCTTCTCCTATTTGTTGTATGGGCAGTAGAATTTTCCTTTTATGAATTTAGATAAAACAATAAGTCCTGAAGAATCCATTTATTTCTGGAGCCATTTTGGAATATGCTCTGAAGCCCTTACTTGCAGAGATTGATGAGTCATCCCTATGTATGTGTGTCCACACGTACATTCAAATTGGTAAATACAGTGGTAAATACATAAAAAGTCTTTTTAACAGCAGCGTTCAGTCTTTGTCTAGTTATCAAGCTGCTTTGATGCTCCATATAGGGTAGCTTGATGTACACGTCTTTCTTAGGGGCGAGTTGGAGAATGGTTCTTGGTGTAATGACTACTTTATATTTCCTGATGAACTTATCTGGATAATTGTTATCAACCAGAGTCTGTGTCAACTTTCTTTCTTCTTCATCAAGTGTGTCTGCAGTGCGAATTCGTTGGATTCTACTGAAGAGGCACCTTAATAAGGCTGTTTTGTACCGAACAGGACAGAAACTGTGATAATTAAGATACTGTCCTGTCCAGGTAGGTTTTCTATAAAGAGATCTTTTTATTGACCCATCAAGCCGTCGACTAAGCAATATGTCTAGGAAAGATAAACAATTATCTTCCTCCATTATCTTCCGTATCCCTAAATGGCTCCAGAAACAAATGGATTCTTCAGAACATATTAACGGTGAGAACAGGAGACCTAGCTCTTCTATTGCGAAACATATTATAGAGACAGGACATAAAATTGATGTTAACAGATCTTTTAAACCTATCTATAAAACGTGTTTGGGGCGTATCCTAAAGTTTGTGGAAGCCTTAGCAATTAGAAAGTTCAAGCCACCTTTATGCGTTCAAAAAAATTCGTCATCACATTAAGCCTTCCTTGGTAAATTTTGTTTTGATACCATAGCAGATGTACTATTACCTCTGCTATTTGGTTTAGTGGACTTCATTGTTATTTTGACCTTGAATATGTCCTTTTAACTTGATCTCAGTCTATTTTCTCACCCTACCTCTTTATTAATTTCATATTTATTCCTATGACAAGTTCGTGTGTGATCAGATTGTTGGAAATGTGTTGAGCAAATACATTACAAGACGATTCAGAAAAATTACGTCTTCTTATTGCTTCATTGATATATATATATATATATATATATACGATTGTACAGGTGTGAAAATGAAATCTTCCTAAAGAGAATATTCTTCTCAGAATTCTTTGCTTCAGTTTCAATGTAGTCAAGATTCAAAAGCCAGCCTATAGCTGTTATGCTGGTGTGGTAACTGTGATTACCTATCGAAATGGCTCAACAAGCTATAATATTTCGAACTAGTGTCGCTGTAAGCGCTGCCATGCCAGAAGAGCACTTGGATAGCAGTGTAAGTTGCTTGCACTATGTTGGGGGGGGGGGAGGTTCGCAGATGTAGTTGTACAGCCGGTGAATACTGGATATAACAGGAATAAAGTGTTTTTCTCTGATGACCAGCAGGTTAGCTGTGCTGTCTCTCAGCTCTAGCGATAGGGGGATGGATAAGGTCAACCATCTTGTAGTGGTTCATAGCCGGCAGTACGAATCTAATACAAACGCAAATTCATAAATCACTTCAAACAAGCCGTGTGTGACAGGCCTCAAGCAGTTGTCCCTTGGGCTTTGTTGTCCCACAACACTAATGCTTCTTCTGTTCTCAGGTATCCCAAGTCAGTCAGTCAGTCAGTCAATAATTTAAAATAATTATAATGGTGATTTATCATTTAAAATATTTCCTAAGCGCAATTAACAAAATACAGTACTATTTTTGACCAAATTCTATAACCAACGTTCATTTTTATTTTTACTATCAGTTCTACAGGTGCTTATCCACCAGAAAGCTGTATATTTGCAGAGGGTTTAAATCTTGCTGCCTTTCTGAGTAAGTGCCAGTTCATTAACTATTAAGGAATTTATCATAACTCATGCGTACATTAACTTCTTTTGAAGAGTATTTGAATTTTCCCTATCTCATTTTCATTTCGCCTTAGGGGACTATAGTGCACGACCTAGGTGTAAATCTAAAAATCAGAACAGAGTGATTTAGTTTATTCAGCCTTTATTTTGATTGATTCTACAATATTTTATCCCCTTTTTACTTGATATTTATATACTTTTCGTCCCCATTTGATAGAACCCTAAGTAAATTCAGTTAGTTGATCAGGAATTGAGTTTTGTAAAGTTCTTGATGATAAATGGCTACACAACTCCTAGTAAAGTTCAGAAGTGAAGACTAGTACTGTTATGAAAAGGTAGCAGTTCAGAAAGCTTTAGAATCTTTTATTATCATAACTAGTTTATCAGTCTAGAGTACATCCGGAAGAATAGGGCACATCGTGCGTGAAGCTGGTATCACCACCCAGTAAAACATCACCAGTGCTAATGAGAATTCACAATAGAAAGCTCGAAGTCCTATATTCCTTGTCAGTAAGCAAGGAATGAAAAAGAAGGGGTTATTAGGTAGAATAGATTCTAAATTAAAAGCTATTGGTAATATTTTTGGAAGTATTTCCAAAGTTCAGTTCACTACATTTGAGGGAGTATAACGCATATAGTCCATCAGTTAAAACATTAACCATAGCTGATGCATTTTGTCTGTTATTTCAGCTATTTATGTGGCCTTGCTGAAAGTTACACATACAGGGCATAATAATATTAAACGTCATTAGGCTTCATTATCAAATAAATATGAATGGTATTTTGATTTGACACTAGTAACTAGTGTGATGCGTCTAGTCTCTGATTGGTGTAGACTGAATTCTATCAGTCAGGCTGTAATGTGACCACCATGCTAGCTAGCTCGCCATATTGATTTGGTGGTGTTAGATGGTTGGAGGCAATCGGAAGGAAGCCTTGAACCTAGGTTTCGTGCTAGTTGGCACTCATCAGCAAGGCGTATCTGCAACCTTGAAGGAACTCATGTCCATTCTGAGATTTGAACCCGCGTCACCCAGCGCTGCAGTCAGAGACGTTATCACTGAGCTATTCGGGCTCGCGATTGACATCCTGTAGGACTGTAGTGGATATTTTGATTTGACACTAGTAACTAGTGTGATCCGTCTAGTCCTCTGATTGGTGTAGACTGAGTTCTATCAGTCATATTCAAGGCTTCCTGTGGCCGATTGCCTCCAACCATCTAATACCATCAAATATGAATGGTGTTCATTTGCAGTAACTCAGGCACATAACAGGAACATTTTAAGAAGTCGGTGCAAAATAGTATGAAATTTTCAGAGAATAGATTTACTTCTCTTGGGTTGCGAGTGATGATTTTTCTCATACTTTATATAAAAAATAACAACGAACGAAAAGAAATGCTTTATTTTGCTTTGCATTAGTGTTTTTAATTTTTCCTTTTTCTTTTGTACAAGGTGTACTGTTTCCGTTTACCTAGATGTATTTGTTATCCACATTTAAAGGAAATACAGGCTAAAAGCGACTGAAATAAGAAATGTTTCAGTTCATAGTTGTTTAGTTATAAAGAAGGTCATTGTTAAATGACTACATATTGTAACAACAGAAGACAAGGGTCAGGCAGCGGGTCATTTATTAAGGAAATCAACACATATTTATAGATTTTCATGTACATTACTATAGATTATTGTAAGCAAACAAACACAGTCTTTTGATTGGGTGTCTCTCACTGAACGTTAATCTTTCATCTCTTTGTGGCCGTTTATTGAAGTTCAGATTATCTATCTGCAAGTTGTATCCGCCTACGCAAAGTTTGCTGTGGTTGGTTGTTGAGTCAGTCTTTGTTCATATATATCTCATGACCAATATTGGGGCTGCAAACATTGGCGCAAATTACTGTCTAGCAATTTTGGCTAGCAGCCAGCCCTAACCACAATATTATTTTATTACTGTAATGGAAAATCGTACACCTAATTTCCACATAAATTCCACAGACTCGGAGAAATATTCACAAACATAAAATCAGGACGACTAGTTTGACTGATTTAACTGTTCGTTGTGTCCTTCATTATTTCTTATTTTCATTCCTATAGTAAATTATTTGCGTATATATATATATATATGCATTGAATTGATTCAAGTGTTATAACAAATGACTAGAGCAAAGATCGAATACGATAAGAAGCTTATATGTGTTCAGTTAGACGTTGATCAAAGAACTTGCGTACTGATCAGCAGTCCACCCCGCCCTCCTGTATGCCCGTGAGGCATGACCAATGAAAGTAAAAGACATGAAAAGGTTAGCTGTCTTTGATTGTAGACATCTCTGTCCTATCTCTCATGTTAGATAGTGCATAGAGTGAGTAATATTGAGATTAGGGGTGTATTGCTGCTGCGTGAGGAGGGTAAGTCCGCGTATGAGGCTGTGAAGGTGAATCCAGTGAAGTGGCTACAACTTGTGCCCCACATGCCTAGTCATCGCTTTCTTTGAGAGGCAATATTAGCTGATATAGGATCAGGTTGGAAAAGAATTAGAGGTGATCAAACCAAAATGTGGCATCAATACATGAAGCCTTTGATGGTTGCTTTTAGCCATATAGACAGGTGTCGGTTGACAAATTAGGGTCCATAAGATGCTAAGATCCAATGGCTTGAGATTGTTGATAGTATAACTGAAAATCGTCCTCACTGGCGCAGATGCATTCACTCATAGTTGTAGTAAATAATTTCTTCTGGTATCGTATCTATTTGGCGTGTGAGTAAAAAGAAACATGAGACGTCAGTTCATGGCTTTCGATGGCTGAATTAAAAAATTTGGAAAAAATTAACATATATGCATATATAATCCACATAATTCTGTCCGTGTATACGCCAAAATATCAGCAAAAATAAATGCAAAACCGTTATATGCGGATAACTTTTCACCTTTGCAGCTCTGATAAATTTGCCGCATCAAATTAAACATGCTATTTATTTTAAGTTTACAAGGATGAAATTTTATATTCTGTTGACCAATGAATAAGTCATTCCCTTCCTCTGTGTTTACTTTTATGGTAAAATCGATATCAATCGATATAATTCATTAATGGTATATATTCGAGACGTCTTTAAACAAAAACCTGATAACAGAGCTCTTTTTTTAACTAAGTTGAATCAATATTGTGAAATACTAACGATGAGTTATGCATTTTCTTCTATTATTCTCAAAATTAATGTAAATGCTTCAGTTATTTCTTCATAATAAGTTTACAGAATGTCTTGCTCATTCTAAATTAACAGATAAAACATACATACTTTTATTTAATTCCTATGACGTTATAGTGTGTGATTTATCAGCCTACGTAGGCATATTTATTGAAAATCACATAAACTAGGGTGGATTCCTATCGCCTCTTGACTTTCGCTAGACATAATTTAAAGCTGTCAAGTTAAGACTTAATTGTTATTTAAGTAAATAGTTGTAAAGGAACAAAGAATGCATGTAAAAAGTATTCTGCTTAATACTTACACACAAACCTACCTGCAAAAACACTTAGAGTAATTTCTTTTTGTTCAATATTTATCGACACAAAATGTCTAATGCACAAATGTGAAACGTGTATGAGTCATATGATATAGTGATTTCAAACGCTTTTTTTTAAATAAACGCATAACCTTACCTGATCATTTAATCTGTATTTTTTTAATTTTAAAATTGTGTACCTTAATAATTTCATAACACAGTTGGGTCTCTTCAGATGCATTTAGTGAAGAACAAATTTGTGTTTTCTTGTCCGACCAGAGAAATTCATTTTAAGATTTACCACACCAGTGACAATATTATTTTATTGTTATTCTTAGTTTGGCGATATTGTACTTTCAATAGTTGTTTTGTAAGAATTAGATTTGTCTTTACAAGTTGATCTTGGAATGTTATCAGTTAGAGAACCATTGAGAACCAAGGAGTACTTGACAGCTGTTTCATCCTAGCTTGGGAATCGTAGGCAGTACGCGCCCAGTGGGTTTCGAACCTCAGGTAACTGCCTGACTAGGTCAGAAGTTAGAACTTATGGGCCATTGAATCGGGTCTGAATGGCTGAATGGTGAACGAGGTTGCCGTGTAACCAGAAGGTACTAGGTTTGAACCCCAGTGGATGCGTACTGCCGATGGTTCGTAAACTAGGATTAAACAAATGTCCGGCACTCCCCGTTGTAAATGGTTCTCTTACTGATAACAGTACGCGATGAACTCGAAAAGAAGATAATGTATTTACTTGGATAAATTCCAAGTAACATTCAAACCTACCTGGGTAGCTATAGTATGGAATATGGACACACTTATTGTGGACGCCTTGCATTTATATTATTATAACTATTATTCCCTTGAGTTCCAAGTGAAACACAGAACTTCAACAGCACATCTCAGTTTCATTCTGCTGTCTGCAGTCGTTAACACCCTGCCCTACGATTGCCCGTAAGCTTTCATAATATCCTGATACAATCTCCTCCATGTCACTCTTGGACGGCCAACACGTCTTTTCTCTTAAGAATCCCATTCGATGGTCTGCCACATATTGTCTCCATTTTCTTCGGTATATTTATTGGACAATAGATTCCTGGTGGGCTCGTTGCCAGAGGTTTTTGTTGCAAATCATTTCCAGCCGGCAGTGTGGCCTTCAACATAGCGCAAAGGCAGTTGTTGATAAAAGTCTGAAGCCTGATCTAAATGCTTCTAGTGACTCGCCAAGTCTCTGGACGATAAGGAAAAAGTGAATTGATATTAGTGCTGAAAATCCAAATATTGTACTTTATATGCTGAGTGCAGCATTTTCTGAACAGAAATTAAACTAGATAAGTCCTCTTTTCAAAAATTCAGAATAAACGTAGACGATATGTCGCATTTTACAACTGTATAATCGCTCAGTTTGTTTCGTTCACACAGACAGTTTGAGAGAAAAGTGTGAATACAACAGTGCAGTTAGGGTGACAAAATAGTATACAGTCTTGTTAGTATAATTCATTAGTACTAAGGTGTCAGCTTTCCAACACATGTCATACATGGCATACTTCCAAGATAGTTAATAAATAACTTGTGTATTAACCGCAATCATCAAATACAAACCAATTTTATTTGACTATATATATATATATATATATATATATATATATATTCGCTTCAAGATAAACAGGCTTCATTCTCACGGGAATTAATCAATCCACTCAAATTTCGAGTTATTCCTAATGGTGGTAATCATTTTTGACCCAATAGACTAGATGAGATAAATGATGAATGCAGCTGTCTTAGATATTTGCCTGTTGTTTATTGTTATTGTCTAACTGAACCAATGAATCTGATTTTAACATTTCGTTTGACTAACTTAATTAACTGACTATTTTTGATTGGACAGTAGTCAGTAACTAGTGTAATGTGTATCTGTGTCTAGTGCTATCCTTGGTGTTGACTGCATTCTATCAGTCAGGTTTGGAATGTGGCCACTATGCTAGGTGGATAACCATCACGGTACACTGTGAATTGTTGATATTAGATGGTAGGATGCTAGCAGAAGGAAGCCCAGCCTTGAAACTAGGTTTCGTGCTAGTTACCACCCACCAGTCAGAAAGGCGTATCGTATCTGCACACTTGGGGGAACTAATGTCACTTCTGAGATTCGAACCTGCATCACTCAGTACTGCAGTCAGAAACGTTACCAATGAGCTATTCAGGCTCGTGATTGACCTCCTGTAGGACTGTAGTGGATACTTTTCATTGGATACCAGTTACTAACTGGTGTCATGTTTCCGTCTTATATCAATTATTCAAAGTGCACCATGATGGCGAGCCACCTGGAATGGTGGCTACATTGTCAACGTGGCTAAAAAAATTCAGTCTGCACCAAAGAAAGGACTAGACACATCACACTAGTTACACGGGGTCAGTCGCGAGTAGAAATAGCTCAGTGGTAACGTCTGTGATGCAGGTTCGAATCTCAGAAGGGACATTAGTTTCCTCAAAGGTGCAGATACACCTTTCTGACTGGTGAGTTCCAACTAGCACGAAACCTAGTTCCAACCAACTAATACTAGCTTTTGTCCACATAGCTTTAAACGTGGTCTAGTCAAGACTTTGCACTATAGAACGAGGAGAATATGCTCTATAGAGAAACTAGAGGAGTTTGAGTTCCTTGAAAATATATTGAAGAGAATTGGGTATCCTCAAAGATTCATCAACAAGTTTAGAAGATCTAAAGTCACAAATGTAAAACAAATCATAGTGGGTAAAAAGCCAATCTACGTTCAGCTTTATTATAAAGGTGAAAATATTGCAGCGATGATCAACAGAAGACTAAGTACATCACTAGCCATAGCCTATCCTACAGCTAAGCCCGTTTCCGTCTATCGAACAACTTCCTCTTTGGTGCAATCAAAAGTCGATAGATATCCTTCTCATGTTACCTGCAACTGTGTATACAAATTTACATGTATCTGTGGGAGCAGTTACATTGGAAGGACAGAAAGAAGGGCATATCTACGATTTTCTGAACATGTACCAAAAAGCTTACGTCTAAAGGGAACAAATGCTTTAAACAGTGCCATCGCCAGGCATCTCCTCGACACGGGTCATGAGGTGAACGTCGAAAAGTCCTTCAAAATTATCAATAAGCAAAAGAGCTCATTTCTACTTAAGTTTGCTGAAGCCATTTCCATCGAGCGCCTGAAACCTGATTTATGCGTCTAGAAAGAAGCGGTTATCAGTCTTTCTTTGCCCTGGTAACTGAATAATTTCACCTCTCTTTCTTCCAAATGCGAAATGCTAAAAGTTTCCATTGTGTATGATTATTATTGTTCGGAATAGTGTTTAATATTGCATATTTATATATGTATATATTTTTAGTGTATGCGTATATTGATCGATTGATTTTTGTTTAAACTTAACTCTGTGCAAGTATGTTAAAATTGTTGTTGTAGATATATTTAATAATGTCTTTGCCATGTAATCAGCTGACGAGAAAGCAACGAAACAAAAGATGGTACCATTTTATTCTGCTAAAACTGTAGTTCTTGCTTTGTTCAAATTCATTAAGGGGAATAAATGTATGAAATAATACTAATAAATTAACTGACTATCAGAAGCTTCAACTTGCAAAAATTAAACTTAAATACTAGTGATATCATGTATCAACTAATAAAATGTTTGTTCACTTTTAATTCTCCATTTTGTGATGCCTTGTATTACAGGTTCATTCTGTGCCTTCCTGTGGTATCTGATTGCGTTGGAAAGAACAAAATTTATGGGCATACACCAACCGACATGTTTACTTAAATTTATGACTATACTATCTTTAGTAGCTGGAATTGGATTAACTATGGTGGGCAACTTCCAAGTAAGCTTGTACATATCAATATTACTTGTGAACCTGCATATTTATGCAACCGTACGCCTGATGATTTCCATAACAAGGAGACTATTTAATAACTGTAAAGTTAAACTCATAATTTCTATCAATTTTCCCTTTTTTTATGTTCAGTCTTTCACTTACACAATAACACAAAATGTACTTAGTCTAATGGTAATTTAAATGAGAAGTGAAGAGTGAAATAAATTTATCCTCTTTCATTCTTTTTTTTACTTAAGTTGAGAAATATCTTATTGATATTTATGTATGATAACGAATTAATCTGAGTGAACTGAATGAGTGGGCAGTCGTAATTCAAGGTAGATTATTTGAGTCCCAATTAGAACGAAATGAGTACCCTGGATTCCACTGCTACTCGCCATCCACCAATTAAATACTAATTAAATGCCCAGATATCGTTGAAGCATCTGCACAAGAAGCCGACATGTCAACCTGAGACCGAGCACTTCGTTCCAATCAATCGATGGGAAAATCTAAAGTTCAATTAAATAATTAATATGACCCGTTTCACAAGAGGTGGCTTTTGTGGCCCAAGTGGTTTAGTGGATACCACTTTGGCGTTTGAAACTATGGTCACTTGGCTCGAGCTTCGGTGGGAATATCATCACTCACTGAGAAATGCAGGTACATCCAGATGAGAAGTCCCAAATAGGACGAAATGTGCGTCTTGGATTCCACTGCTAGTCACCATCCAATAATTATGGTATGCGTTTTGTATAAAACATATACGAATGGGACTTGGGCACTGTGGTAGAGTGTAATTCCATTATGAAGGAAATTTTATTTTTGTAAAGTCTCACAGTGTTACACAGTAATATATTTACTGATGTTTCGAACATAATTTATCGCTCATAATTTTATCAGGGAACTCAAACAACTTCCTAACCAGTGACGCCTTCATTCGATGGGCAGAAAGTTGTGTATCTTGATATGATTATGAGAGATAAATTATGTACAAAAATGATATCAGTAAATATTACAGTTTTGTACCAAAGTTTTGGTAAAATTTCTCATTTGATATTTCATTTTGAGTCCTTTAGAAATACAAATTCTTTTTTTTTTGAGAGTATGATTTAATTGCAACCTAATAAATGAATTTTTGGTACTGACTGTATCACTGAGGTTAGCATCCCTGAAGAAACATCAGCTCTGTAGAGATTTCAAATGGCTCTTGTTATTTTTACTACCACTTTCAAAATTGAGAACTAGAGTTACCAGACCAAAAGTCTAATCCCGTAATCAATACTGAAAATTTGTCGTTTATATTCACCGTCACAGTGCATTAGGTAGGATTCGTCAAGCTATGGCTTTCTTACGAAATTTCTTCCGCTTTAAGAAGAAAGCTTATTATATAATAATAACAACAGCGGACTTGATGACGCCACTGCTGGAGAAGGTGTGGAAAGAGGGCAAAGTACCCGAGGATTGGAAGAACGGATACTTATTCAAACTTACAAAGAAAGGAGACTTAAGTCAATGTAAAAACTGGCGTGGAATTATGCTTCTGTCCATTCCAAGCAAGATACTAAGTCGCATCATCCTGGAGAGAATCAGACAAGCCCTAGATGAAAAACTTCGTCCGGAACAGGCTGGATTCAGGAGAAAAAAATCATGTATTGATCAAATCGCCACTCTACGGATCATCATTGAACAAAGCTTGGAATGGCAGTCACCTCTCTATCTCAACTTCATCGACTTTGAGAAGGCCTTCGACAGCGTCGATCGAGAGGTCATTTGGAAACTACTTCGCTATTACGGGGTCCCATCGACAATTATACATCTCATCCAACAGTTATACGACAATGCTGCATGCCAAGTAATCCACAACGGGAAACTTACGGAAGCCTTCGAAGTGAGGACGGGAGTGAGGCAAGGCTGTCTACTATCACCAATGATCTTCCTGATTGCAATTGATTGGATAATGCGACAGACAACGGCAACCAACGAGGGAACAGGCATAAAATGGACTGACACAAAAGACTTGGAGGATCTGGATTTCGCCGATGATATATGTCTGATTTCCCATAAACTGGAAGATATGCAAGTGAAAAGTAACAAGTTGGCAGAAGAAGCATAAAAGATAGGACTTCACCTGAACATAGAAAAAACAGAGATGATGAAGATTCCTAGCCAACATCAACAGCAACAACAACAACAGACAACAATCAGCATAAGTGGGAAGAACCTGAAAGAAACAACCTCCTTCACCTACCTGGGAAGCATCGTCTCAACTACAGGCGGAACTGACGAGGACATCAAAGCCAGAATCGGAAAAGCAAGACAAGCTTTCATTACTCTCAAATCTGTGTGGAGGTCAACAGCACTCAGCATCAAAAATAAGATCCGGATTTTCAACTCTAATGTGAAGTCAGTGCTACTATACGGATCAGAGACTTGGCGAGTCATAAAGAGCATCTCAAACAAACTCCAAAACTTCATTAACAGCTGTCTCCGCTCAATACTCAAGATCAGATGGCCAGAAAAGATCAGCAACAGGGATCTCTGGGAGCGAACCAATCAGGAACCGATTATGAAACAAATAGGCAGGAAGAAATGGAGATGGATTGGCCACACGCTGAGGAAACCATCAAGTGACATCACTAGACAAGCCCTCGAATGGAACCCGAAAGGGAGGAGGCGGGTTGGTCGTCCAAGGGTGACTTGGAGGAGATCATGCGAGGAGGAGATGAAAGCATGTGGACAGACCTGGAGCAGGGTGAAAAAGTTGTCAGAAAACCGAAGGCAATGGAGGTGCGCAGCTGAAGCCCTATGTTCCTCTAGGAACTAAAGGATACTATAATAAATAATATAATAATAATACAGCTTTATTCCAAAAACATATTTTGTACAATGTAGAGAATTTTCAACCGAGTCGTCCAAGATCTAAAATGCAAAACAATACATTGTGATACCTCTACTTCTTCTTCTTCTTCTCCGCTGAGAAATGTACTACATTTACTACAGTTTTAAAGAGTTCAGGAGTACATCTAAGAAGCAAGGACACCACTCAGGAATAGTCATCTCATGTACTGGAGTAGTAAGCTGCCATCGTGTTTAGCAGAAACTCATGAATCAGCAGGCTGTAAGTGTTTTAAATACTCAGCAGAGTTAAAAAATATGAATCAGAGAAAATATGTGCGATATAGTGATGGAGGTTGGGTTCGGTAGCCCAAGTTCTAAGTGCGCCGCCGCCACCATTGTATAATATGAACAAAGTGAATATTGTTTTCGAAAACCACTGCATATATGTGATAACATTCCGTTATTTTTTATCCTCACCAAAGTATTTTCTAAGAATACGAATATAATTTCATGCGTTCCCAACTGCGTTCAGAGGTCAAGATTCAATTTTAGTTAGAAGTATATTGGAAGGTGCGTCGGTGGTATTGCGGCTAGGATGCTCGCCGACCGTGCACATGGCACAGGGTTCAATCCCAAACCGACGCAATCCTTTATCTCTCTAAGCCAGAAATAATGCTGGTAAAGTGGAAAGGTTGGGCATGAGGCTAACAACCCCATCCTGTAAAATAAACAATGCTGCAGAAACTTCAAGCCACTATCTTGAAGCCCTATGTTCCACTAAGGAACGTGAAAAAAAAATCAATCATCATTCAATCAATTATATTGGAAGGATAGGAAGAAGAGCTTCTATACATACACTTTTCTGAGCATTTCTCAAGAAATCTATGTCCATGATACTCTCTTGCTTTTTTGAATCGAAAGTAATTTCCAAATAAAATCTGTCATTCTACTATTTTTTTCAATAAAATATTGTGTTACAAGTCCCTGTGGTGCTTACAATTAGTATGAGGAAGTGTACGGCATCATTAGAAATAAACGTAAATCAACGGTACCAATGAATAAGTGTTCTTTGAAGTCGCACTGCTCTTTTTTAGGGAGGATTTTAAACCCTAAAATAAAATTTTTTTTAAACAATGCTCATCGGGAAATTGTCAGCCAGTTAGTTTCTTAAAAGATGTTTTCAAGAGTTTTGTAAAAGTTTTAGTGACCTTCACACTTAAATTTAGAGTGTAATATAAGCCTGAAACCTGTTCTTTGTGTACAGTATTACATTAAATACAATCCAAGGTGACTTACACTGTAGCTTGCCTAACTCACCAGTTAAATAGCTTTCTGGGTGGTAAACAGACAGAATGATAATAAATTGCTACCATATACAGCAGCAGCAATCCGACGATTAAAGCCTAATTTATGTCTGCAGCGTTGACCGCGAAGTAATTTGGAAACTACTCGAGTACTATGGCCTAACCCAAATATTCATCAACCTTATTCAACAGCTGTACGACAACGGTACATGTCAAGTCATCCACAACGGAAAACTCAGCGAGGCATTTGGAGTAAACACAGGAGTCAGACAAGGGTGCTTATTATCACCAATGATATTCCTAATTGTGGTGGACTGGATTATGCGTCAGAGAGTGGGAAACGAGAAGACAGAGATATCCTGGACCTACGTGAAGAAAGTAGAAGACCTAGATTTCGCGTGTGGATAATTTATGTTTGATGTCACACAAAATTGAAGGCTTACAAGCGAAAACCGACAAACTGGTCGAAGAAGCAGCAAAGACAGGACTCCAGGTGAAAATAGATAAGACGGAGGTTATGAAGATAACCAACAACAACAACAGCAACATCCAGCGCCAATCACCATCAACGGGAGGGACTTGAAAGAGGTCACATCATTCATTCACTTATCTAGAGAGCATTGTCTCAACTACAGGAGGAACGAATGAGGATGTCAAATCGAGCGAGAATCGGGAAGGCAGGCGAGAAACACATTCATCAACCAACTGAAACCAATCTGGAAATCTTCGTCACTCAGCCAGCATCAACAACAAAATTTGGTCGGATTTTCAATACAAACGTCAAGTCTGTCAGTTCTTCTATACGGATCAGAAACTTGGCTGGCGGGCGGGTCACAAATAATATTTCCAACAGCCTGTTGCAGACCTTTATCAACAACTGTCTTGACTGGATTCATACTGAAGATCAGATGGCCGGGCCGGAAAAAATCACCAACAAGAAACTATGGGAAGAAACAAAACAAGAACCAATCGCCAACAAATATGCAGGAGAAAGTTGAGATGGATTGGACACTCGCTCACTGAGGAGGCTGCTTGGTGACATCATCAGGCCACTGCTCGAGTGGAACCCGAAAGGGAAGCAGCGAGTGGGACGTCAGTGCAAGGTTGGCATGGAGAAGATCGTGTGAAGAGGAGTTGAAAAAGTATGGACTGACATGGATGCAGGTGAAAAGTACAGAAGAAGAGAGAAGCAAGTGGAGACGTGCAGTTGAAGCCCTATGTTCCACTAGGAACCCAAGGGAACAATAATAATAATAATAATAATAGAAGGATTTTGTGTTCCATTCTGCACTGCCTTGATAATGTGTTGTTTCTGTTTTTATCTTATTATTATTTGTTTTATCTTCTCGGTATCTCCAAACATTGTGCACCTTTCTGACACTTTTCACTATCCATTAGGTTTATTATATGGCAGTTTTGTTTCTGAGTCTCTCTTTCGCTGGTTTACCATAATTTCACTGCTTATCATACCAAATATATCATATATAAGCTAACCTCCTCACCACCTTTAATCCTAATCACACATTGTCAGTATTATGTTAAACTGTTTTGTTTTGTATGAATTGAATTTACAGTATGATTTGCCATCTTAGTAATCATATATCTGTAATGAATAATCAGGCTATGAACCATATCAATTTTGTTCCCGTATATAAATTGTTGTACAGATATGAAACTACTTATTTTGCGTTGATTGTACCACTGAACTGCATCCAATGATTTGTTTTTGATAATGACATCTCCACTTATCAAAAATGTACACACATTTTCAGTTTGGTCCGTTTTGAAAGATTTAGAGCGTGAAGTGATTGATATTCAATTCCGTTGTTCTTGCATAGAAAAATTTATGAAAAGAACTTTTTGTATTATAACTTTACTTACTTCATTCTTTTCAAGAGTTTGTTTGATTCGTTTCACGTGTGATCACTGATTAATATCAGTCAGAGAACCACTGAATACCAGGAAGCACTTAGCAGCCACTTCGTCCTTTTTTAGGACTCATCGACAGTACGCGTTTACTGAAGTTTGAATCCAAGACCTCCCCGTTACAAGGAATGCTTGTAGACCATTCAGACACTGAGACAAGACTCAATGACCCATGAATTTCAACTTCTACCCATTTGAGATTTCAGTGCGACTACCAGCCAGTGTCATCGGCAAGTATTTCTCGTTACAGATTGACCAAATAGACTCCACTGGTCATGACTCCTCACTAGAACTTCAGGCAATCTCGTCAGGACAAACACTTGCCGATGACACCGGCTGGTGGTCGCTCTAAAATCACAAATAGGCAGAAGTTAAAATCCATCCAGCCATTGAGTCGTTTCCCAGTGTCTGAAAGGTCTATGGGCTTTCTTTGTAATTAGAGGGTCCTGGATTCCAACCCCAGTGGGTGCATGCTTACTTTGTACAGCTTTCGAATGCCGCTGATTAGTTGGGATGGATAGCACTAATATGCAATGGCACCATAACCTGTACCACGTATATCCATTTGGTTGTGCTGAAACAGCCATGTATTTGTGATGCAAAATAAAACTCACTAACTGACATTTAACACTTTTGTCTGATGACGTGATTACTAAATAATCAATAGGGTTTCGTAACAGTTCTACTATACTCTTTTTATTTTCAGCAAGTTAACGTTGAATTAGTGCATGATATTGGAGCTGCAATGGCGTTTTATGGGACAACTTTATACATTTTCCTATGTGCTTATGTAAGCAGTCGATATCTTGGAACACACTGGTGCATATGGATATTAAGATTACTGTTGGGTATAGGATCAGCAATAGCAACAATACTCTGTAAGTTGCGTGATTTTTTGTCTAATTAATGAGTGTTTTCTATTCTGCTTGTATGAAATCAGCAGCATATTCTGATTACGCCAACATAAATAAAAGTTTTTTCCATGAAACGTATCTTCAGTTACATACATTTGCAACACCAAAAACCTATAGGTGTCTTTATTGGGCACTAGTAACTAGTGTGATGTATCTAGTCCTTTCTTTGGTGCAGACCGAATTCTATCAGTCAGGCTTGCAACGTAGCCACCATTCCAGGTGGCTGACCATCACGTTGCACTGTGAATTGTTGATATTAGATGGTTATAGGTAATCGGAAGGAAGCCCAGCCTTCGTTTCGTGCTAGTTGGACCTCACCAGTCAGCAAGACGTATCTGCAGCCTTGAGGGAACTAATGTCCTTTCTGAGATTCGAACCTGCATCACCCAGTACTGCAGTCACAGACGTTTCCAATGAACTATTCAGGCTCGTGACTGACCTCCTGTAGGACTGTATTGAATATTTTGATTGGATGCTAGTAACTAGTGTGATGTGTCTAGTCCTTTGTTTGGTGCAGACTAAATTCTATCATTGAGTCATGAAAATATGCTGAACGTCTTCTCTTTTTCATGTGAATTCTGTAAGTCAGGTTTGAATAGTGGCCACCATTCTAGGTACCTCCAAAGAAAGGACTAGACACATCACACTAGTCGCTGGTATCCAATCAAAATATCCACTACAGCCCTACAGGAGGTCAGTCGCGAGCAGGAATAGTTCAGTGGTAACGTCTGTGACTGCAGTACTGGGTGATGCAGGTTCGAATCTCAGAAGGGACATTAGTTTCCTCGAAGGTGCAGATACGTCTTGCTGACTGGTGAGTTCCAACCAGCACGAAACCTAGTTTCAAGGCTAAGCTTCCTTCCGATTACCTCCAACCATCTAATAGTCTATAAGTATATTAGTTTCTTGAAATTTTCTCTTGAATTCAATATTTTTAATTTGGCTACAATTTAGCCATACAATAAAATGCCTGTTCCGTCGTTCTGCTGCTCACAAATTTTAATTTCCTGTTATCGATTCAAGGAGCAAATTGACATGAAGTTCAGAAGCTGTATTTTTTTGTGTTTTTCGACAACTATGAATAAGTCATGTTTTTGGAATCGCCAAGAAACTTATTTGGCTTCTGTAATTCACATCATTTACATTTAGAAAATTGTCCACCGAGCTGTTTCAGAGATACAAGTATAAAACTTGGGCACTGTGGTAGAGTATAACTCCATGATGGATCAGATTTTGTTTTGATAAATCGCACAGTGTTATACAGTAATATTAACTGATGACCACGTTCCGACCACAAATTATCGCTCATAATCATATCAAGTTACTCATATAACTTTTTTCCTTCGTTTACATAAATGTGTTGAATCGATTAGGTATTTGAATAAAAATCAGTATGTGATAATGTACATTCAGAAATAATAATATGAGTGTTATTGATCAATTACAATCAGATGGGAAATTAGACGAGTGTTTTTATAGTCATAACAAGTAACTTGTTAGAATGTTATGATGTACGTGAATTGAAAAGAATTTTAAGATTATTTATTATCCTGCTTTGATTTGACTGGTGGTAATAATATCTTCCATATCTCTGGTATTTGAATTGATTCACTTCTGTTGCATGTGTTGGGTGTAGATTCGACGAACCAGGATTCAGTAATCAATTTCTTTCCACCTACATAGATTACTTCTTTGAATCTTAACCCTTTCCCATTCTATTGTGTGGTTGTATGTTAATGCATGTAGTGCAGTTACTGAGCTTTTTTCTAAATTACTTATCTTCTTAGTGCCAACCATCCTTACCTTATGTTCCGACAATCTTATTACCCCCGATTTACTAGTTTGACCTATATAGTTGACCTCACAGTCATTGCAAGGTATTTTGTAAATTATATTATTTTGTTTAATTGGGTCTTGAAATTCTATTTCAATTCAAGCACATCACAACATTCTAAAAAGTTACTTATTATGACGATAAAAACACTCGTCGTATTTCCATCTGATTGTAATTGATCAATAACACTCATATTATTATTTCTGGATGCACACTATCCAATATTGATTTTGTTTTAAATATTTACTCAATTCCACACATGTATATAAATGAAGGAAAAAAGTTGTATGAGTAACTTGATAGGATTATGAGCGATAATTTGTGGTCGAAACGTGGTCATCAGTTAATATTACTGTATAACACTGTTTCAGAGATACCTGCCAGCTTTCTGTATGGAAAAATCTTGAGATTGTACCAAATTAATTTGATGGGTGATCAATGTTGGTCGAAATCTGCCAGTGAGATTTTTATTATAGTCACTAGACTAAATGACACCGCTGTGCTACACACAGTAATATATTTTTTGCTGGTGATTCAACTTGTAAGTTCTTGTCTGGAAGAAAAATGTGTATTCCATCTAGGCGTTTGGGACAGCTTGTTACTAACTAACAGAAGCACAAATAAGACCTAAGTCAAAGAGGACTTGCTTTGAAGTGGTTTAATGACCACACTGTATTCCTGATTGACAGACTGGCATGAACATTTAAAGCTGAACAACTATATTTTATTTGAGTGTGGTGAACACTTTGAACACTTTGATATAAGGATAAAATCTGGGTATTATAGTAGAGTATAACCCCATTATGGATAAAATTTTGTTTTAATAAAGTCTCACAGTGTTATAAAGTACTATTTAGTGATGACCACGTTCCGAGCACAAATTATAACTGCTCATAATCACATCAAGACACAACTCGCACAACTTTCTTGCTTCGCTTATATACATGAGTGAAAACTGATGATTGAACATTTGAATAAAATCAATATAAGATGAAGTACATTCGGAAATAATATTAGTGTTATCAACAAAATACAGTCAGACGGGAAATAAGATGTTTCTGTAGTAAAATAAATAACTTGTTATAATGTGAATTGAATACATTTTAATATTATCTGTTATCCTCTGATTCGACTGGTGGTAATAATATCCTCCATTTCCCTGGTATTTGCATTGATTCACTTCTAGTGCATGTGTTGGGTGTAGATTCGATGAACCAGGATTCAGTAATCAACTTCTGTCTTCACACACCTATATTACTTTTTAGAATTTTGACTCTGTTCCACCTGATTTGTGGTTGTGTGTCAACGCAAGCAGTGATATTTCTGAATTACTTTCTATATTACTTAGCTTCGTGGGATCAATCATTCTAACCTTAGCTAAATTCGTATGCTCTGATAATCTAACTACTCCCAATTCACTAGTCAGACCTATGTAGTTGACATAACTCACAGTCATTGCAAGGTGTCTTGTAAATTATACTTCTTTGTTTAATTGGGTCCACCGCATCCTTTAGCCTGCAGAGCTTGTCTCTAAGTGCACATCCTTCCTTTTGTTAAGAAAAGCATTTTCCTAAACAGACGATATTAAATTTACTTCATTTTTATTTATAGTGCATCATGTGATTTATTCAAATGTTAGTTTATAATTATATCATGTAAAAACGTAGAGGCATTAATATCTGATCATATGAATGGCTAATAAATCAAGAAAGGACTTTGCGCAGAATTGCATCATTTCGAATTGACACAATTCGAAGCACCATGCATAAATACGGCATAACTTGTGTTATAATAAATAAATATTCATGGGACGGTTTCTGTGTGACATTATGCTTAAAAATTATATTCTTTACTCAACCTGATATTTTTTCAAAATCCAATAAATTGAAAATTTGGACTATTCAGTATTGTGAAACTAAAAACTTGTAAAACTATGATTGTATATCTGTTGACAATGAAATAACAAAGAGATATTTCCTACTGAACTTCTTGTTCATACGATAGTTACGTCTTAGTACCAAAGCGTTTTCATGGTATTGCGATTTCAGCATAAATTTCATTGACTTTATATTCATATGGAGTTTATGAAGGCTGAATTATCAGTGGAAAGTTACATTTAAGAAGAGGAACAGAGAAAAAACTACTCATTGGTGAAATATTAACCACCTTGCATTAAGAGTCTTATACGAGGAAAACTATTAGTATTTTTTCATCATGAGCTGACATTAGTTAAAGAACTCTTGGAAAACCCAACAGGGAGAACTGGAAAGCTGTTTCGTCTTAGTTTGTGACTCTTCACAGTAAGCACCTACCCGGGTGAGTGCGTACTGCTGAAGAGTCCCTGACTAGGACGAAACAGCTTTCCAGTTCTCCCTGTTGGGTTTTCCAAGAGTTCTATAACTAATGTCAGTTCATGATGAAATTCTGTAACCAGTCAAATCCCTACAAACCAACACTTGAATATTAGTATTTTGTTTTCTGCTACGTTTGTTATGGACTTTCCTCTATTCATTTTATGCTTTCCATATTTCTGACCCACTGTATTTAGTTCTAATCTTTCGACTGTTTATCACATTAACCGAAGTTATTAGATTGTAGACTACACTCCAGTTTTTATTATTAGTACACAAGATATTGGCACTTATTAATTCCATTTTAACTAAACATGAAATTCCTATAAACATTATGTGATTTATTTTCGGTAATTATGCTAAAACGTGTCTTAACGACTTCGCAGTTTTGAAGGCTTTGTAACGGGAAATAATTCCCCAAAGTTATTGACCCCAGCACTCATCACAGAACATTGGATGCTCACCACCACTGTTTAACTCGACTTGTTTAGCCGAAGACTTCCTGTTCAGCATCTACGCCATTTAGTACTCTGTCGTGTCGCGTTCTTTCGTTCGTGCACGATCCCTAGCTAGCCAGCTAAGCAATCATCTCTCACTCAGATTTGGTCTCGAAATATATCTCGTAATTTGGACGATCAACTCTTGTCTTTTGCTTAGCCTTTGATCTACTCGAAACGAATATTGTGGAAGTTGTGGGTATTAGATCTTGTATTAGTATACTTCGTACAATCCGTGAACGTCAGTATCGTCAACCTCTAAAGCTTTAATTTTTTATTCAAACTTTTCATTTCAGTCTCAGTATGCCATTTATTCTCTCGAATTCATTTCAAAGGATCTCAAGAAGAATCCCTAACGTATCGTCATCCAAAACAAGGTGTAAGTATTATTTTTAGTAAAGTAAACCTATGCTATGAGTACATTTATGTGCAAGTGAGATATTTAGTGAAATAACTGTTTTGTATCGCCCGTTTACACTTGTGGTGAGAGCTGCCTGCTAGCCAAAATTGGTATACAGCAATTTACGTCAGTGTTTACGTCCTATATCTTGGTCATGAGAAAAGACAAGAACGAAGACTACCTGAACAAACAGTCACATCAAACTTTTCATGGGCGTATAAGATTCGCAGATATATGGTCTAACCTTCAAGGAAACGGGCACAGAGAGATGACAGAATAACTTACAGTGAGAAAACGGCCAATCGGAAGACAGTGTTGTTCTGCTGAAATAACGAATAATAATGTACATAAAAATCTATAAATATCTCTTGATTTTCTCGATAAACGATCTGTTGACTGGCCCTTGTCTTCTGTCATTACACATTGAACCAATTCGCAGCGTGAGCGTGAATTATGTTTTGCTTACAAAAGAATTATTATACTTGTATTTGTGTTTACTAAGCACGTATAGTAGTTTGTTATTGAGCAATAGAGTGGTGCTAATTCTTTAAATTAACCTCGAACAACAGGCTGACATTTTAATGGACACCTCAGGGATGAAATCTATAATCTTTTTTAATGTAACTTTGGTCAATTCACTATCTGGTGCAACCATAAAGATCATTAGGGAGCATTGGTGCTGGCACCTCAAATAATAGATCCCACTGACTGAAGGGAAACGCGCTTACGACGCAACCTGGTATCTCGACAGTTTATGGATGCGTTCAATTTAAAAGTAGAAAATCATAAGGAAGCATTCATCCATTGCCCCTTGCTTTTCAGTGGCACTGATGCATAAATCATGACTGGTAATGCCAGGCACAATTTTTATAATAGAAATTGCAATCCAAATTGATGCAATAACAAACATTGTATTTATTTCACTATTGATAAATAATACTAGTCATTATTTATGAACACTATTTGGTTTTTCATTTCCATTCGGTCATTCAGCGCTCATCGCTACAGCACGCCTGACTGATTTGTCGGTGTAGGCCCATATACCAAGGCGTGCCAGTTTAAGTCTCAACATTTCGCAAAAGAGCGTAAACACAAGTGGAGCTAAGGCATTCAATGAAACTTCAATGGACGAAAACATGTGGGAAAGAAAACAATTGGATAACGACTGGTGGAGATTTTCAGAATGTAAAATCGCCATTAGGGGTAAATAGGTCTGTTCCTCTGACAAGAGTCTTAAGCTATGCTAGTAAAAGTCACCAACCACCAACGACCCCAGCTAGGCAATCTAGGCCTCCTGCGATTTTTCTCAAGTCAGCATTCATAGACAGCATGTTTTGACACCGTGTTTTTTCAGGTTTTTCAGACTTCTCCATCTTAGGCTTATTTCTGCTAACATTGTTAGTCCAGGAAGGCCGTGTTGTGAAATGCGTTACATATGTCGTCTTTTTTTAATTGACATGTTTCACTTACGTCCATTATTATTGGCATCATTGTAACACCTAACAAGGGTAACTGAATGGAGGCATCTATGTTCAAACAGTAGTGATCTCACATCTTTCACTTTTAACTGCCTTTTCTCAAGTTCATAAAGTGGGATGGAAATATTAAATAAAAACAGACACACGTTTTGTCGATTAACCAGATTTCACACTTATATAAATTATGACCGTGGATGGCAAGTGCTAAATGAACTCGATACTTAGCGATCCTGTAGCATCATCTTGCGTTTGAGTCACTTCCATCATCACAACTATAATAAGTCAGACACTAGTTACCTCTAACACAAACCACCTGTTTTCATTCGATTTGACATTCCCATATATAGTCTCACACAGCTAAATAATATTTGGTAGACCGCCTTATTAGTAGGATATACGTTCTTGTCACTCTTTTCAAAGCTAGACATTTCAAAACATTTCTTGAGCGACCAAGTCAAGTGCCATTATCAGGTTGGAAAAGACAGGAATTTTCGGAAACCCATAATTGTTAATGTGTTCCAGCATTTATTGGAAGGTTAATATGTGATCACTACACCTACATTTAGGCCTGACGCTTACTTAGTTTTCCTTCAGTCTTACTCAGTCTTCGTCAGACTGTGGCGGGCAAAATCTTAGATACATTGTTACTTCAGAAATCCATATATAAGTATCACCTGGCATACTTGTGTCTCACGTTTCGTCTTAGCAGCTTCTTTGGTTACACACAATTTGACGACACTTTTATCGAAGACTTAAGCCTAAAAGCTTCAACTAATTACAGCTATATAAAGCACACGCTAAACGTTTACTGATTCTTAGCGAAATCTCATTTAAGACTAATCGAATCCCTGTAAATGAGTCACCAGTTTGCGAAATGTTATATTACTACTACTTTACCACATAGTTATTAGTATGTGACTAGATTATATGTGGATTTTAGATCTGACCATATCTGCATCTAAAGGTCCTGGGATCACTAATTTGATTGTCTTGTTTTTTTTGCTAAATACCACTATTCGTGTGAAATCTCTTGAGTTAATAAATTGAAATCACTCTAAAATTTGTCAACTTGATGTTGACTTTCATCAAAAACAAATGTATAATGAATTTTTGTCATCCGTATATTATCTTCTGTTCATCGACTCATCATAGTGACCATTTTGAACGATAAAATTTTCTACGTTGTCACTTTCTTCCTTCTAGGGACATTCGTATTATCTATGCAGCACAGGTTCTGAATGGTTTGCGGGACTTTTCAATATACTCTTCTTTACTACATGGGCGTATGAATTTAGTAATTATGCTTTGCAGATGCCTAAGGTAAATTGGGATAATTCTTATCTATGGTTTATCATACATGCATATTCATTGTTTTTTTGTTCCTTTACGTTTCCACGCTTCAAGTTAGAGGCTTGAAGTTTCTGTAACAGTGTTTATTATTAATACAGGATGAAGTTACTAGCCTTATACCTAACCTTCCCTCTTTACCACTCTTGTTACTAGCTTAGTGAGGTAAAAGATGCGTCGGCTGGAGATCGACCTTCGGACCACCTGCGTGGTCCGCAAGCGATCTACCTGTGTCACTGACGCACATATTCATTATAAGCTGCTACATTTTTTTTAAAATCACAATAGAAGCTCTTAATCCATCGTTTAATTTAGCTGATTTTTCCAATCTCCCGATAGTATTAATTATTTTTCTAAATTTATTTTTGATTTGGCTTGATTGCACACCGTATTTTTGGTAGAAGTATGAGATTTTCAGCATGTGATATCGGTAGCCCAAATTTTGCAGGCTGACCATTGATATCAGATGTGCGTTGGCAGGGGATTGAACCCCGGACCATGTGCATGGTCGGCAACAGTTCTAACCGCTTTGCCAACTTAATAATGAATTTATATAAATAACTGAAGCCAGGTGGCTAGAATACTCACTTTCTGAGTTTTCTCACAATGCAAATTAGATTTGGTAAAATACCTTATTCAACGAGTAAATGTGATATGTTAGAGCTTTCACCTAATAACTGAACAATATCCGTGTTCGTTGAAGTAGAAGGGAATGTCTAGAAATATTTTTGGAACACAATTCGAGGCACTGGTAGTCTCTAAAATCTATTTTACCAGATATTTTAGTTTCATAGTGATGTTACTACTGAAAAATTATCACAATGCTTAAAAAGATAAAGCTATGTTGCTTATTCTTCAGTCAGTTATACCGATTTTGCAAAATAAAGACCATCCACCAAATTCTACCCCCCTATGAGAAAAGTGAATATTGTCGCTTTTACTACACAGTTATCTAGTTTAGACAAATTTGTCTGCTAATCTTTGATTCCTTTTGTTATGAAAAGGAAATGTGCCACTGTGCGTCGGTGGCACAGTGGTTAGGACTCTCGCCGACCATGCAAGTGTTCCGAGGTTCTATCCCCTGTCGACGAACACCTGATATCTATGGTCGGCCGGCGAAATTCGGTTTACCCATATCCATGCTGAAAATTTCATACTTGTACCAAAAATACAGTGTGGAATCAAGCTGTAATCAAAAATAAAAATTAAAAAAATACAAGCATTTCATATTGATTCATTACGTTAAGCGCGACTTTCAAATTTATTTACAGTAATTTGCCTAACTTTATTTATTTATTTATTACGTTTTGTCAGATTACACTCAACGGTGGTAACCAGAATTGGTGTGAATAAATCAAATCTACGTACTGAAAAGTAGCCTTTATAGTCACTGGTTTTGTTCTACTTGTTCATTTGAATGCATGTATATTGAAATTACAAAGACTGTAGTACTCATTTTTTACGGTTTTTGTTTAGCTGAAGCATTATCATAACTTCTATGTATTATTTACTTTTTAGATAGTTCACAAATCGCCTAACGGGATTTCAGAAGATGTTGACTCGAAATCCCAAATACGTGGGACTGATGATGCTGAAACCTCGCATAGAATGATTTTCTAAACTAATTAATTATTCGTTAATATTTGACTATACGCTACAGAAGACTTTTCCACTGACATAAACTTTTCTTTCTGTTTGAATAAATCACACATTTTCATTATATTATTATTTATTTTATTAATTCCTTCACGTTCCCAGTGGAAGATAGGGCTTCAAGCTAGAGGTTTGAAGTTTCTGTAGAAGCGTTTATTTTTACAGGGTGGGGTTACTAGCCTCATGCCCAAACCTTCTTCTTTACCAGCTTTATTTCTGCCTTAGTGAGGTAAAGGTGTGCGTCGGCCGGGGATCGAACTCCGGATCATGTGCATGGTCGGCGAGCATCCTAACCTCTGTGCCACCGACGCACACATTTTCATTATTTTGTTTTGTTATCACTAAAGTAAAAAGCAAATGTGTTCTAATAAGGAAACAAAAAAATGAGTCAGTGAAAAGTAATGTTACAAGTAGGAGTCGGTAAATATGGAAGTAAGGATAGTGCATTATATATATATAGTATTTATTTCTTAGGAACTTTAGATAATACTGTATTTTTCATTTTGATTAAAAGAGTGATCTCTCCTCTTAAAATATGTTAGGCTAATAATTCTGTCATATGAAATAGAGAAGACGTTCAGCGAAGAGACTGTTTTTGGCAAATTCATTCACATAGCTGAACAGTCACATTTATACATAATTATTTTTGTGTATACATAAGGTTTGGCAAGTTTACATAACTAATCAGGTAGTATAAAAATGATCTAATATAGAAACAAGGTTAATTAGACAGCAACTAAAGTAAGATTGAGTTGGTAACTCAGATGACGTAATATAATTGACTAAAATGTTACAGCTTAGGCCAAGATGGCAACAGAGGCAATTACAGGTACAGACTAAGTAGTGGTAGGGTAGAGAATAATGCCATTTAAATTAGGACTAAAACTGAGCAAATAAATTGGATGACGTGACAATAATGACTAGAAATTGAGCGTTGGTCAAGTCAGTAACAGTCGTAATGAAGTATAAAAATTAAATCGGTTGGGGGTAGGGAACAGGGAAGTTGAAAATGTAAAATATTACAACTGAAAAGAAAGAATAATACTAATTAAGCGACAGGAAGAAAGAAATAAAATTTGCCTGTCGGGTATTAAGATAAATTACGTCCATTGCAAGTGTAGTGATTGAACGAGCTTCTTCTGTATGCAGAGTTTAGGGCTTTGAGGAACACTGCTTCTTATTCTGTAGACGACTTTGAGGTTTATTACGGGTGTACCTTGGTGTACGGAATCTGTCAGATTTTCTAAGATAGAGCTGTGGAGCCATCGTTTTTCTCCATTGTAAAACCATGCTGGTAAGTGTTCGGTGATACGCTTGGAAAGCGAATGCTGGGTACGGCCGACATACCTGGCTCCACACGAGTAGGTGAGTGGATAAATATACATTGATGAGGCCAGCAGTAATAACTTATCCTTCACATTCATACGAATCATAAGTTTCGTGGAGAAGGTTAGTCGTAGTTCATGGGTTTTGCAATAAATCGTTCTGGGTAATAATTCTCGACGACGACTCTCTTGAGATTATCCATTTCGTCTTCCATAAAATTTAGGGTGCAAAATCTGCGAACTCTGCAGCTGAGTGAACACCTCAGGTTACGTTTGGTGTATAGGGGTATCCAACTGTGAAAGTTAATAAGCCGCCCGTTCCACGTCGACTTTCGATAGATACATAGATGAACAATTCTGTGTCTTCTACTTCCTATTCAATGAACTGGTACTTATATTCGCTAATATCTTGAAATGATGATTACCCTTCTCCTTTAGAAGTTAACCTATCTTGATTCGCCCCGATGAATTTTTTGATCACTTGCATATTCTTAGTCTAAATGCTGTTCATTCATTAGACTTTCGTTCACCGATATATCTAATTTTGCTTAAAAATGTCTCTTTTACTACTTCCGTGTTTTTAAAATCTTGTAAAGCATGGAAAGCCATTATAATTCAATATCACCTGATTTTACACTTGAACTGAAGTAAATTCCTCTTACTAGTTAAGATGAGCAATTATTTACAAGCATAGGTATTGCTTCATGATCCAAATTTGACCAGAAATGTAACGAAAATACTTTCTACTCTCATTCATATATTGATATATGGCATTGTATGCTTCCTAAGGTCTAGGTATTTACGCTATCCTTTTTAGAACTTAAAATAATGTATGTGCTAACAGAGTAATAATATCATCACTCCTGGTCTGGTTCCATACTGTCGGTAGGACTGTATAGCATTATTATTAAAGTTCATCAGAAATAAAACTGTATTTGCGAAAATTGTACATTAAACTATTTTTTAACACAAGTGTTATCTCTTCTTTCTATGACTAACACTCGAACATTTTCTCCACTGAATAATAAAAAGTTCGAATCCCGGTGGGTGCGTACTGCTGAAGAGTCCCAAAGAGCTAGGACGAAACAGCTGTCCAGTACTCCTTGGTGGGTTTTCCAATGCTTCTCCAACTAATGTCAGCTCATGATGAAATCCTGTAAACCAATCAAATCCCTACAAACCATGACTTGAAAAATGTTATTTATGGAAATCCAAAGTAAATTTGTCATTTACATATTTATATATATTGAGTGAGGAAATGGGATGTTAAAAACAAGTGAAAGTTTTTTTTGAATTAGAAATTTATTTCATGATACTAGAAACTGTGTAATAAACTATATTGAAACTGCTTCAACATTTCACTGTAATTTAAATGTAAGTTTAATTATTTTATTTTTCAATATAAAGTTATAAACATCAGTCCAGTTAGTTGAACTGTTGGGGCCTTCATCATCCAACCTATACTAGACTGTTGAATTTCAAAAAGTTTGTCAAGAATTTGAATCCATTTTAGTGTTTGTGTTTTATTGAAAATTTCGCAATCAAAATATTTCAATAAATTTATCAGAATCCATACTAGTTGTGCACACCCACTGGTACGCAAAAGCAGAACTTTTCCCCTTTGTAAAATCAGCGTCTTAATAATCTCATTAAAGATTTTTAGAGCATCATTTATAAATCCGGTAATAAACTGGACAATACCAGACTGATACTTTGTATTCAAGTGAGCTGAAAGTATGCTGGAAAGAATCAAAGCCAATTCAAGAGTTGTTGAATACCATAGGTTATTATCTGCTTCTGAATGAACTATGTCTGGTATCATAAAATACTTCAAAATTGTAAAACACTGAATAAAATTATTGGAATTTTCTTTCAAATGTTCCATTGTCTTGTTTACCCATAAGTGAAATATGGTTTGTACATCTTCTTTCAGATCAATAAAATAGTTCATCTTCTTTACACAGATTATACCTTTTTTACTACTTTTCTTAAAAGCATGAATAAGTATATTTACCGATGAAGCCAATATCTCGTGTAAACTGTATTTTATCTGATGAACTACTTGATTATTTGTAAGTATTAAAGCATTTTGCAAATTAAATTTTATCAACTTTAGCCGACTTGAGTTGTATATCATGTAGTTGCTTATCTCTATTAGGGAAGTTATTTCAGATGTAGATTTTTAAGATGAATAATCTTACCTGTAATTTTATCAATAGTTATTTCATTGTCATAAGAATTTTGGTTCAACTGTTTGTTTTTATGTAACAAACAAAAATTTAAAATAGCCTCTTTTTGTTGTTCTCTTTTTTTGTATTGATGCTGAAGAAATTTCACAAATTCATAACACGATATATTTGATGGTGTCTGTTTTACAAGGTAGATTGCAACTGATGTTTTCGCCACCATCAGTGTAATGTTAGCCAAGAATTCATTAAGATCTGAAGTCTTGCCTAAGCGGTTCATCTATAATGAAAATGACAGATAGTTGAAAATTCCACCTAGATTTTAAGTAAAATTGAATTTCTAATTTTTTAATTTTTGATTACAGCTTGATTCCACACTGTATTTTTGGTACAAGTATGGAATTCTCAGCATGGATATCGGTAGCCCAAATTCCGCAGGCCGACCACTGATATCAGGTGTGCGTCGACGTGGGCTCGAACACCGGACCATGTGCATGGTGGGCGAGAGTCCTAACCACTGTGCCACCGACGCACAAACCAGTTCTTATGCAGTTGATTCTATCTCATGTAAGAGCAAGCTTTTATCTTTGAACTCAAAAAATTCAAGTGAACAATAACATGATGTATGGTGATTTTTCCCTACATATCTGTATTAAACTCTTCAATAAAACCGGTAATACTTAAATTCACATTAATACGGTTCAAACGTTAGATTACCATATAATGCATAGAATAAAGTTCAAGAAATACACAGTATGAAAAATTATCTGGTCACTAAATGCACTATGAACCAGAAGAATTCATTGTGCAGGAATGTTTGGCTTGTAAACTAAATAATTAACATATCACATAGTACACACGAAGCAGTTAAAAAGAGAATTTAAAATAAAAACACCCTATTTGAAACCACATACGTTTATTTAGTCGTCTAAACCGTATTCTTTAAGAGAAATGTTGTGCAGACAAACACTTTGTGGGGAAATTTCATGTTTATATTTTGAAAATTTCACGAACTCTTATAAATTTAATGAAAAATTCACCCAAAATCAACGTAAATTACTGTTTGAAGTCCTTAATATTGACTGTATAGCCATGAAATACAACTTAAAACCGTGGAAATAGTGACACTTCTGTGCATTGTAGGCCACAACAGAGGTGGTATCACAGATAAACACTGAAATATTTCTCAGTTTCACACCATGCTTTTACTACAGCCTGTATAAGATTCTGATTTGCTTCAGAAAAGATGGAATTTTTGAAATAATAAGGTAGGTCCTGAAATGAATGAGATGCTCACTAGCCACTTTCCCTATTCAGGTTGGTAGTTAACTGGAGTTATGGTGAGAATTCGTGACCAGTAGGGTGCAGCGGGTCGGGTGTGAGGGCAAATACTCACTGAAGACATTGGCCAGTGGTCGCGCTATGTCGCGAATTGGCAGAAGTTAGAATTCATGGGGCACTAGATCGGGTCCCAGTGGCTTAATGGTTTACGAGCTCGCCTTGTAACCACAAGGTCCTGGGTTCGAACCCCGGTGGGTGGTAACTGATGAAGAGTCCCAAACTAAGACGAAACAGTTGTCCAGTCTTCCCAGGTTTCCCAATGGTTCTCTAACTGATTTCTGCTCATGATGAAATTATGTAAATATTATTATTATGCCACGCAGAATATCACTTGAATGTTCTTAATGTTTTATCACTGGCACTAGAATTCCACAGACAAGGCTTTACGAATTTATAAGTAGTTATCTGCACAGCTAAGGTCATTTGCTTCACACTTCTTAATAATAGTGGCTTAGTTAAGCTATACGTATTCGCCCAACTTACAACTGAATTTCTCTCCTACGCCACCCAGATGCATATTTCATATACTGAGAAAAATATGTAGGCACAAATTCACTAATTCCAATAATTTTTCAAGTATTCTGTTAACTCAGTCACACAGTGGCATAACTTCAAACAAGGAAAAAATGGTAGTGATTAGTAAAGTATGATACAGAAAAAAAATACTGAAACACGGCATATGTTTCCCTGAACTTATTTCCATATACATTTATTGAAATGGTCAAAGGAATACATAGATGTGTGAACAAAGCCTATGGTACTCTGTAAAACCAATTAACTTTGATTGGCCATTAGTTATTAACCGCCATTATGCATTTAGTCCTTGGTTTGGTGAGGACTAAGTTCTGTCAGTCAGATTTACACTACGATTACCAAGCTAAGAGACTCGCCGTCGCACTGCACTCTGAAATGGAACTAGATAGAGACAGTCGACAGGAATCCCAGAACCCAAGTTTCTTGCTTACTGGCACTCACCAGCAAAGTTTATGTACAATCTGCAAAGTATTTGCGAATAGAAACGTCTATATTTTTCGAGGATGTATCTTTTGTCGTGAGTAAAATCATGGGAAACGGCGACTCTGAGGTCGAATTCCTAATGGAAAAATATCGAAACGGTATATTCTGTATCGTGTAATTATAGCAGTTAGACTATTAAAATGTCATGAAACTTAAGATTTAGGTAAAATATAGAAACTGGTTTCAAGGTACACTGTTGCTTTTAAGTCAGTCAGAGTTGTGAAAGTGGATGAAATTTTGAATGATAAGCACCAGTGATAAACTAATGCCTAAATTGCTACTCTTCCATAGACACTAAGTATGCGATGCATACAAATGATGTCTACATCTTTCTACAACATTCATACATAATGAATAAAGGATTCTAAATATGTATCCGGTTTAAAAATTTTTGTTCATGCACATTCTTATCTGACAAATGGAGTCAGTCCACTGGGATATGCAATCACGAAATGACCAATAGGCCACGATGAAAAAGTTTTTGAGCTTAAAACCTGAGGCATACTGTATGAACGAACATTGACAGCATCCTATATGAACGTTTTCAGGGAACTTGTATACCTTCACGAAAAGGATTATTGCCAGTAGTAGTCACCTATTCTACTTATTTAAGACTCGGTTCCTCTCATGTGTATCGCCGCAAATATTTAATCTACCGGATGTTTGTGGGGATAGAGGGGTGATTTAGTTATTTTCAGCAAGTATCCGTGGTAATTTCGCCTCACCTTGAACAAGTTGATTAGGGATGCAAACTCCACTTTTTCTGACAATTGATTGAGCTCCACTTATACCTGGACTCAATGCAAAACAGAGATCATCCCTGATTATTACAGGAAAATAATTTCGTTGCCAAAAGCAGACCCCAAGTTTATTTATTAACGCCCAACAGATGAAAATGTATGCAAAATCTCTGTGTTTTAGGGACACAGATGATGATTATGCAGTGATAAAGGTAACTATTGTAGCGGTCAATAATTCCTCAAAATTATTGATCAAACCACTCATCACTGAACATTGGATGCTCACCCTCACTATTTAAGTCGACTTGCGTAGCTGAAGGCTTCCGGTCAAGCATCCACGCCATTTGGTACTCCGTCGTGTCACGTTCGTTCGTTCATGCACGATCCCTAGCTAGCCAGCTAAGCAATCATCTCTCACTCAGATTTGGTCTCGAAATATATCTCGTAATTTGGACGATCAACTCTTGTCTTTTGCTTAGCCTTTGGTCTACGTGGAACGAATACTATAGAAGTTGTGGGTATTAGATCTTGCGTTAGCATACTTTGTGCTGTCCATGAACATCAACACCCTCAGCCTCTAAACCATACATGAAATCTAAGGACTCCTGCGTTGAATTTACTAAATAAATTGACTGAAAGTCACAACCCAATCTGTCATAGTTTTCGTTTACCCTACATTCCGAATACTATGCGCGCCCAGCCGGTCATTTCAAATGATTGGGTGTAGATAGGTTCAAGTCATCTTATTCAGACGATGATAGACGTGATTTTAAGTATTTTGCATAGTTTTAAGACACATAATCATGGAAAGAAGAACAAGTTGTGGAAGGAGTAGAAAGGCTGTGCACTAGATTAGTTAGAAGTGAGATGATGAAAATACCACACCACGTCTGACTATCAAAATCTGGGAGTGAGCCTATTGTGGACTAAGAATCCCCCTAATTATAAATCTTCAGAGCCCATCTCCCTCCCAAGATACCTCTAGTAGGTCATCACTAGAAAATTGTTAGACTATATGAGTGGAATTAAGACTCTTATGTAATTTATTCAAAATACAAAGTACCTTGATAAACCAAATGGTATCGGTCACTCTAGTGAGAACTTTCGAAGAGATGTTGGACACAAATTGAAATATATGTCACATGGATGAGCATGTGCTATTCCTAGCATACTACACCCAGCTAGTACTATCTTCAAGTCTCCTGCAGATATTTCTGGGCATAACACTTAGTGCACTGCAGAAATGAGGGATATATAAGTGAAACAATGTGTCTCGAATGTTTCTGAACCGGAAATATTATTTATTTCAGTTGTGAGAAGAATGCATATAACGTATACCGGTATCATTTTCATGTCATAAATAATCAAAAATAAAAAAAATAAAAAAAATGTCATGCAGAAATCAATGAGACCTGGAATACCTTCGAAATTGTTTGTACTGAGCCCAAAATTTGCTCCGAAGACTTGTTTTAGTCTGCCCCAAAGTGTTTGCAATGTTCTAAAAGTCAGTACTAGCTGGAAAACTTTGTCGTTGAAGACTGAGTCTACAAATAAATCCTAACGTATTTGTTGATATACAAACAAATCAGGCGCATAAATGGTGCAATAATTTGACAAAATGAAGAAATCAAGCGAATATGGAGGTATAAATGGAAAATAGCATAGAAACCGGTTAAAAAGGATATCTAGGAATGAGGTATCTGGGGAGAAAAGGGGATTCAAAGACGAGCTCCTCCATTTTTCCCATGTTTGTTCCATTTGTACTCCCCCTTCAATCCTAATTATAGTCTCACCATTCTCATTTTCAGTCGATTGATATTTCTACAGGGTCACATATGAGAAAAGGCTTTCCATGAAAAGTAAGAGATAAACTTTCATATTGCTTAACTGAATCCATGTACCCTTGTAATATACACGTTAAACTCCAGACTAAGTAAAACTTTGGCAACCACCCTGGTCAACCTTATCACAAAGCTTGAGAAACACCAGCTAGCAGTTTCTTCCAGCGAAGAAATGTTGTGAGAAAAGACTTCGGAACACTACAGAACGTCAGGAAGTGGCCTGAACCCTGCCCTAAACATTATGCAGTTCGTCCACAGTCATGTTAGCTGGGACATTACTAAAGTGTATTCTGTTTTGACACCTATTTGTATATCTGATTCTATGCTTATTATTAACTGTGTTACCTCATTTACAGCCACATATGACTTTTGGTATTTTGTCGCGAAAACAGCTAAAAAAAATTTGAAACCACTGGCCAAATCCAAAATTCAATGTATTTGGCAGATGCTGCTTTCAATAAACAACATACTCTTCACGAGCTAGCGTTTTCCGAATTCGATAGTTCCTGATCTTCTTTTTTGCTCACTAGTCACCTGCCTTAGCTTTGATAAGCTGGTTTGAATGATGCAGAAGTTTAGTGCACTGCTGTGGCCAGAATTCATTCTTTCACCTGTCATTTTCTTTATGTTACTGGCAATAGCAGTTATTTTTTTATGTACAAATAAGGGGTGGCTCATTCAAAGAAGCTCATTCAGGGAATTTTCGCTCCTATTCTCGGAAGAAAGATTTCATTGGTACGTGGTCGGTGAGGCATCAAGCTGCACTTAACATTTTCGAAGGCAATCCCGCCATATCCATAAATGCTTGTGCATAACTTTAGCATTGGACGGACTGTGACTTTGTGCAAAAGAATGTTGTATCCTAGGGGTTGACATCAGGTTTCTGCATTGACGATATGAGGGATTCATATATCACATAGGTATTATTTGCCGCGAGTAGGTGACATCAAGGAGTTTCATTGAGCCGGACATCTTTAGAGTTGAGTCACTTAGATGTAGCTTGGATCCAAGATATGAGCTCTCAAAGCGTAGATTTAGTGACTATTTACATTACTGTATTTTAAAAATGTTATTTGCCTCTGTTTATTGTACATTCGCCAACAAATAGTTCTACTGAATACAAAATTCCGGTTTCTGTCTCATCCTAATCATTTTTCGATTCACTGGGATTCAGCTATTTCAGATTGCGGCTGAAGACATTATTACAGTAGAATGCCACACTTTATGGATGAAAAGGACTTCAGTTACACAAACTATAAAGGTTTCCCTCATTGTTGACGAATTCTTCTTCCTGGGAAATTTGACGGACAGTGTCTACTGTTTACAGGTTTTGAGCATGAGGGGTGTGCCATAATTAACCCTCTCGCAGGTGTAAGGTGGTCTTGATGCATTAGCTGAATCTCGCCACTTTGTATAAGCCCAAGGGATGAGTAAGTACTAAAGAATTTTGTTACTTTAAAGTGGCTTAGACTGCATGTGTTAAGCCAAGACAATAAAGAGTCGTAGATTCTATTGCATTTCCTCTTAAAATTTTGTCGTTCATATAGGACATTGTTGAGCACCTCTTTCTCATAGCGAACGAGGGGAATAAAAAACGCATCGCTGTTGAACTTGTTACTGATACCATAAGTCCTTTCAAGAAACCTTCTTGTGTCTAGGTCAGTAATTTGTTATATTCCGTATGCATCATGACAACTTTTCTCTTGACATAGACTGTGGTACTAGATGCCTAATGTTCGAAGATCTTTGGATTCTGTGGGTGTTGATGCTGATGGATGGCACGAATTATACTAATGCAAGATCTAAAACACACAACTTCTATAGTATTCGTTCCGCGTAGATCAAAGGTAAAGCAAAACACCACAATCGATCGTCCAAATTATGAGATATATTTCGGGACAAATCGGGGTGCGAGACGATTGCTTAACCAGCTAGAAATCGTGCATGAACAAACGAATGTGACAACGGAGTACCAAATAGTGTGGATGCTTGACCGGAAGCCTTCAGCTGAAAAGTTCAACTTGAACAGTGAGGCTCAGCACCCAAGATTCATCGATGAATGGCTGGCTAACAAGAATAATAATAATATATATTCTCATTTTTTACATGAGGGACGCCAGTTTACAGGCATCATCAATTCGATAAGTTACACATAAGATTAGTAAGCATATTTAATAAAGATAATATAATAAGGTACATTTTTTCCTAGCTATGTAGGGTACACAAATTGTATAGGCATGCATAAATATTGTTCTTTTAATAATAATTATAATAATTATTATTATTGTTATCAGGTGAGTAGTAAATATTTACTAATTAATTGACTTCTGAATATTATTATTACTATTATATCCTTTAATTCCTAGAGGAACATAGGGCTTCGCTGCGCACCTCCATTGCCTTCGGTTTTCTGACAACTTTTTCACCCTGCTCCAGGTATGTCCACATGCTTTCATCTCCTCCTCGCATGACCTCCTCCAAGTCACCCTTGCACCGACGACCAACTCGCCGCCTCCCTTTCGGGTTCCATTCGAGGGCTTGTCTAGTGATGTCACTTGATGGTTTCCTCAGCGTATGGCCAATCCATCTCCATTTCTTCCTGCCTATTTGTTTCATAATCGGTTCCTGCTGGGTTGGTTTGCTCCCAGAGATCCCTGTTGCTGATCTTTTCTGGTCATCTGATCTTGAGTATTGAGCGGAGACAGCTGTTAGTGAAGGTTTGAAGTTTGTTTGAGATGCTCTTTATGACTCGCCAAGTCTCTGATCCGTATAGTAGCATTGACTTCACATTGGAATTGAAAATCCGGATCTTATTTTTGATGCTGAGTGCTGTTGACCTCCACACAGACTTAAGAGTAATGAAAGCCTGTTTTGCTTTTCCGATTCTGGCGATGATATCCTCGTCAGTTCCGCCTGTAGTTGAGACGATGCTTCCCAGGTAGGTGTGTAGGGGACTAATATTAGAGTTCACTAACATTCCAAATATAAATGTAATAATCCAAGTCAGTGGAGTGTTTAATCACAATATATTACCAAAAATACAGTGACGAGTTATAGCAACAAAAAGGATTACTTGGTTATAAAGTATAAGTCCTCGGCTACAAATTAATTATATAATCCACAGGCACGTTAACTGTTTGGACTGCGTCTGCTGTGTTCCGGTTGTAGAAATGTCTTCGGTTGAAAGTAGTAGGCTCCTACAATAAATCCGAAGTATACAACATGGTGTGAGTGGAGCAAGTAAGCAGAAGTGACCAGGGAGAAGACGAAGTCTCCAACAGCAGAGTGTATTTTTCAATTGTACACGGAAGTTATGTATATTTCAACAAGAAGCGTTTTAAACAAAAATTATGTACAATATCTCGAATTTATACAAGTAACCAAAAAGTGTACAATCACATTGTTACGTACTCAAAAGGTGAAGGAGGTTGTATCTTTCAGGTTCTTCCCACTTATGCTGATTGTTAATAATAATAATTGTTTTAATAATAATAATATATTTCTCCCTGTTTATGAAGGAACATATCTATTGTACAGGCATGGATAAGTTGTTATATAAATTACACACAATTTGATGTATGATGAAGTTACAGTTTGGTTGTTCTCTCTGGCATTAGAGTCAGTCGGAACAGTCTGTTATAAAGTCTGTCTGTGCAGCACATAAAGAGATATAGAAATGTTGTCTTCGCATTAACAAAAAACCCAGACATCACATGAATGTAATACAGATATCTGGGGAAAATAAAGACTGAAGTCAATTCTCCTACATAACTTTGTTGTGAACTGCACCCTTGGCTTGAATTTTATTGATGTATAAATGTTGAGATCAGTGATATATTTATTCCATTTTTCAGCAATCTCATCGTAGTTTCATAACAGGAAAGAAATTTGAACGTGGAGGCGAAAACTAGATAAGGTCATGTTGGGTTGTTTTACTGCATAAAGTGGTGCCGAGGTCGTTTCCAGAAGTCTCCATTTTCGCCATTTGTGTCTGCATCGTGGACTGTGCTTGTAAGTTGGGTAAAATGTTGAAAACTGTTTGAAAACCAGTTGCTTCTTCATTCCAGATCATGAATACTTATTTACAGCATGTTTGCCAGCGTCTTCAAATGGTAGAATTGGATCCTTCCTGGAATTTGAGTGATTATGAGATAAATGCTTTGGAATAAATCATACCCAAATCGACAAAAATGGGGGAAAATCGTGTCTAAAATGGGGAAATAGTAAGATTTTCCCCCTTTTCCCCATTTTGTAAAGTCCCGTTATCCCCACCATAACCATATTTTCCCCATTTTGTCCCCACAATTTCCCCATTCTGTCCCAACAATTTCCCCATTCTGTCCCCACAATTACCTCATTTTGTCCCCACAGTTTCGCCATTCTGTACTCAGAATTCGCATAGTTCCCCCATTTGGTCACCGCGATTACGCCATTTCGTCCCCAGAAATCGCATTATTTCCATATACTGTCCCCGGAATTTCTCTATTCTCCAATCGAATATTACCACCATAATTTGTCCCTCTTTTTAACGAATATAAACCGTTAACCTGGTAAATTTCCCCCCTATCACTCATTTACTACAGCCTTATATTGATTACGTCAAACAACTCAAAAGTCAAATTAAGGTTTTTTACCGGAAAAAATTATATTTGATTTTTTTGAGTTAAAGGAAAACAGTTTACAAGATTTCGGTAAATTAATTCTTTAGGATTAATGAATAGTTTCAGTTGCGATTAATACACACAGGTAGAATGATAGCCTTGTTATTCGATATCTCATTGCACTTGTACTAATTGTCCCCATCGTCAAGTAGATCCATTGAAGTGTCCTGAAAAGAAAGAAAAATTATTCATTAAGATAGTAATCCACACTGGCACTTATACAGACAGTTGACACTGTAATAATGAAATACTTAACGTGTTTATTCAGGTTTGAAATTTTATTTCATTAATGAGTATAATTAAAATTATTTGTCTATATAATAGAAATACTCACACTTAAAGACCTTAAGTTTCAGTAATTTCTACAGCATGTACTTATTTAAATGGTAACTTACAGGAGAGATCCTCTGATCACTTTTCTTATTGTCAACTGCAACCTTTAAAAAATAAAAACACAATTTAGTTAATTGATATTTATAACATGAAAGGGTTTGTAGTGTATACACTGCAATGCTACTATAGTAGCATTAATTTAACCAAAAACGTTTACTTACTCTTCGCCGGCTCTCCCTTTTGTCTATGCGATCACGTATATCATGGAAGTAGGCCTTTACAGTCTTTTTTAGAATTTTCTTAACGTCGTCATCAGAAATTGTAGCCGAAACGAACTTGCTGACAATGACGGCTAAAAGAAATAATTAAATAAAACAAGCTTACACGTTATAACTGCATAAAAGGTGCATTTAGTGAGAGCCAATTTCTTTGGAGTTCCAAATGCTGTAAAACGACTTGACAGCTTAGGCTCCATAACATAATTTAGCATCGCTCTCAACGAAGACTCCGGATTGAAAGATAATTTTTCCACCATTTTCATCATCTGAAAGTAAGTAAAGGTTTATTGTGAACTTACGAATGATTCTTTAAATTTCGGATTTTTAAGTGACGCTTCTAGTTGGGTGAACTCTTCTTCAGTAGTTACGGGGAATTGCAGTTGACTATTGTCAATGGTTGATTTCCCGCTTCCAACGGCGGCCACACCCGTTGACTTATTCACTGACAACAATTGCGCCATCATTGTTTTCAGCGACTGAAGTTCTGCTTTCATTTCTCCTTTAAAGGAATGCATTTCTCCTTTAAGGGACTGTATTTCTCCTTTAAGGGACTGCAACTCATTGGCTACTTTATTATCTGATTCACAGTTTTCCTTACTGCAAAGTAAATACTAATGAAAAGTGACATACGTAGTCTGCTGAACTGGTTGCGCTATAGGTGAAGACGTTGCCACTGGCATTTGTTGAGTGGAAGTGCTGCAGGAGTAATGATATTAAAGGAATGCGTTACCTGGCTATCGGTGACATAACAGTTTCCATGAAATTTGTTGTCGGGTATTTTGAAGGCAAACAAACTTTCTGTGCCTCCACTGCTTCAAGTTCCATTGAGTCGTAAGCGTAAGACGAGTTCTTTGTCTCAACTCTGCATCCTGTGATTAAGCAATAAGAAGAATCTACCTTGGACGTTTGGAATTGGTAAGAGGTAATGTTTCCTCCATATTATCTGAATTGGAGAGTACACTGTGTATTCGTTTAGTAGCCTGCAAAGTATTCTTGGCTTCTACGAAAGAGTCTAATTACAGTAATGTAGGTAACACGTAAATAGTTACCTAGTTCAGCTAACATTTGACAATCCGTTAACACCCATTCCGGTCGAGGTCTTACGCAAGCCTCAACTTCATTATCTGTTATACTGCTATGATACAAGCACAGGTCTTCGGATAGCATCCAACTTTTGGCAGCTATGAATAATTCTTTGGACCCAGCTTTCCGTAATACAGTATAATTCTTCTTTTCTTTCTGTAAGAAATGATAAATATGATGTAAACAAAATTTACTGTCTTATTAGTCCGCTTGGCAATTGAATGCAGGAATGCCGACGATTGACACAACTGTCTAAGCAGGTTATGGAAAAGTATGAGGCAAAGGCACCGCAACTGCATACCTATCTGTACGAATTCCAAAACACTTACAAGTAATGTCTGACGGACGAATCTCTACCTTGTATGGGCTAACTTTTGAGCACTTCCATATCCCAATGTGGGATGACTTAAATGGTTCCTCGAAGAAATCACCAAACTCTGCATAAGGTCTGAATATTAGTCCATCCCTATTTATCTCAGTTATCAGACCCGGTCTACCGTGAGCTATAACTAAGTTATCTGGTGAAGAGGAAGTAATAAGTGTATTCCTAGTATTAACTGTTTGCCTACGTGCATCCACCTCACACTCATTTAAAACTTCATTGCGTACTCCTCCTGATTTGCAGTCGTGGAACACCTTTTCAGCAAAACGGTTTGCCGCTTGCTTAGCGATTGCATTGTTTGAATGTATTGATCGCCTTATTGTCTGCATATAAGATTCAAATGGGAAGGCCGAAAAAGATTCCAACGGTCCCATTTGATTGACATCTTCGGCCAAGTGTTGCAGACAATGGATGTTATAAACTAGGTGCTTCCTACCATATATAACCTCAAACTCATTAAGAAAGTTGATTAACTCAACTCTGCAACCTTCTAAGTAATTTCTATGAAATCTAGGGTGAGACAAAAGGTAAACTGCTAGACTTAATCTTTGGAAGTTTCGATAAATTGCCAGTGGCATTATGTCCTTAAGTACAACGGGTCCTAGGTACAGGAGGAACAGGCGACATTCTGTGGCTTTCCACCGACTAACTTCGGTTAGCCCCCTACATTTCCTCGGGAAGTCCCTGGGTGTCATTCCAGCACAGTCTAATATCTTCCCGTCAATATTTCCTAGCATAAGACGGTCCACGTGCATCTCATTTTTTTAGCTAAGTCTTGCCAGAGACTTACAAGCTTCCTAACTACCCCTAAGTACACTAGGTGCATTGGATCAAGGGGGAAACACTTAACCATATCAATGTTTAATTCCTCAAAAATGCAGTCTCCACGGTGGTGACTTGACTGCATCCTTTGACGGAAGCTGTCATCAGTTCTTATTGGGAAGAAGCCATTTCCAAATATCATTCTTCCATCAACTTTAACTCCAGTGACTGTGCATTTGTCGCAACCTGAACTAGCATTATGACCTACTATATACTTCAAGTCCGCTCTAGCCGGTGCATCACAGATGACGGCTGTTAAACGAACGTTGAAATGCCTTCTCCCAGTAGTCTAGAATCGCATGACCCACACATTCTCAGTACACTTCTAACAGTTTTTGGTAGCTGAGGCAATTTTGCACGGAATATCTCCAAGATTCTGTTAGCGTCTGCTTGTGAAATGTTCGTGGTGACTAGGATATTCAGAAGCATATTTGTCAATTCGTTACGTTCAGAAGGGACTTGTGTGCACATTTCCGAAGTACTAGCAAATGACGTAACGAATTGATAAATATGCTTCTGAATATCCTAGTCACCACGAACATTTCACAAGCAGACGCTAACAGAATCTTGGAGATATTCCGTGCAAAATTGCCTCAGCTACCAAAAACTGTTAGAAGTGTACTGAGAATGTGTGGGTCATGCGATTCTAGACTACTGGGAGAAGGCATTTCAACGTTCGTTTAACAGCCGTCATCTGTGATGCACCGGCTAGAGCGGACTTGAAGTATATAGTAGGTCATAATGCTAGTTCAGGTTGCGACAAATGCACAGTCACTGGAGTTAAAGTTGATGGAAGAATGATATTTGGAAATGGCTTCTTCCCAATAAGAACTGATGACAGCTTCCGTCAAAGGATGCAGTCAAGTCACCACCGTGGAGACTGCATTTTTGAGGAATTAAACATTGATATGGTTAAGTGTTTCCCCCTTGATCCAATGCACCTAGTGTACTTAGGGGTAGTTAGGAAGCTTGTAAGTCTCTGGCAAGACTTAGCTAAAAAAATGAGATGCACGTGGACCGTCTTATGCTAGGAAATATTGACGGGAAGATATTAGACTGTGCTGGAATGACACCCAGGGACTTCCCGAGGAAATGTAGGGGGCTAACCGAAGTTAGTCGGTGGAAAGCCACAGAATGTCGCCTGTTCCTCCTGTACCTAGGACCAGTTGTACTTAAGGACATAATGCCACTGGCAATTTATCGAAACTTCCAAAGATTAAGTCTAGCAGTTTACCTTTTGTCTCACCCTAGATTTCATAGAAATTACTTAGAAGGTTGCAGAGTTGAGTTAATCAACTTTCTTAATGAGTTTGAGGTTATATATGGTAGGAAGCACCTAGTTTATAACATCCATTGTCTGCAACACTTGGCCGAAGATGTCAATCAAATGGGACCGTTGGAATCTTTTTCGGCCTTCCCATTTGAATCTTATATGCAGACAATAAGGCGATCAATACATTCAAACAATGCAATCGCTAAGCAAGCGGCAAACCGTTTTGCTGAAAAGGTGTTCCACGACTGCAAATCAGGAGGAGTACGCAATGAAGTTTTAAATGAGTGTGAGGTGGATGCACGTAGGCAAACAGTTAATACTAGGAATACACTTATTACTTCCTCTTCACCAGATAACTTAGTTATAGCTCACGGTAGACCGGGTCTGATAACTGAGATAAATAGGGATGGACTAATATTCAGACCTTATGCAGAGTTTGGTGATTTCTTCGAGGAACCATTTAAGTCATCCCACATTGGGATATGGAAGTGCTCAAAAGTTAGCCCATACAAGGTAGAGATTCGTCCGTCAGACATTACTTGTAAGTGTTTTGGAATTCGTACAGATAGGTATGCAGTTGCGGTGCCTTTGCCTCATACTTTTCCATAACCTGCTTAGACAGTTGTGTCAATCGTCGGCATTCCTGCATTCAATTGCCAAGCGGACTATTAAGACAGTAAATTTTGTTTACATCATATTTATCATTTCTTACAGAAAGAAAAGAAGAATTATACTGTATTACGGAAAGCTGGGTCCAAAGAATTATTCATAGCTGCCAAAAGTTGGATGCTATCCGAAGACCTGTGCTTGTATCATAGCAGTATAACAGATAATGAAGTTGAGGCTTGCGTAAGACCTCGACCGGAATGGGTGTTAACGGATTGTCAAATGTTAGCTGAACTAGGTAACTATTTACGTGTTACCTACATTACTGTAATTAGACTCTTTCGTAGAAGCCAAGAATACTTTGCAGGCTACTAAACGAATACACAGTGTACTCTCCAATTCAGATAATATGGAGGAAACATTACCTCTTACCAATTCCAAACGTCCAAGGTAGATTCTTCTTATTGCTTAATCACAGGATGCAGAGTTGAGACAAAGAACTCGTCTTACGCTTACGACTCAATGGAACTTGAAGCAGTGGAGGCACAGAAAGTTTGTTTGCCTTCAAAATACCCGACAACAAATTTCATGGAAACTGTTATGTCACCGATAGCCAGGTAACGCATTCCTTTAATATCATTACTCCTGCAGCACTTCCACTCAACAAATGCCAGTGGCAACGTCTTCACCTATAGCGCAACCAGTTCAGCAGACTACGTATGTCACTTTTCATTAGTATTTACTTTGCAGTAAGGAAAACTGTGAATCAGATAATAAAGTAGCCAATGAGTTGCAGTCCCTTAAAGGAGAAATGCAGTCCCTTAAAGGAGAAATGCATTCCTTTAAAGGAGAAATGAAAGCAGAACTTCAGTCGCTGAAAACAATGATGGCGCAATTGTTGTCAGTGAATAAGTCAACGGGTGTGGCCGCCGTTGGAAGCGGGAAATCAACCATTGACAATAGTCAACTGCAATTCCCCGTAACTACTGAAGAAGAGTTCACCCAACTAGAAGCGTCACTTAAAAATCCGAAATTTAAAGAATCATTCGTAAGTTCACAATAAACCTTTACTTACTTTCAGATGATGAAAATGGTGGAAAAATTATCTTTCAATCCGGAGTCTTCGTTGAGAGCGATGCTAAATTATGTTATGGAGCCTAAGCTGTCAAGTCGTTTTACAGCATTTGGAACTCCAAAGAAATTGGCTCTCACTAAATGCACCTTTTATGCAGTTATAACGTGTAAGCTTGTTTTATTTAATTATTTCTTTTAGCCGTCATTGTCAGCAAGTTCGTTTCGGCTACAATTTCTGATGACGACGTTAAGAAAATTCTAAAAAAGACTGTAAAGGCCTACTTCCATGATATACGTGATCGCATAGACAAAAGGGAGAGCCGGCGAAGAGTAAGTAAACGTTTTTGGTTAAATTAATGCTACTATAGTAGCATTGCAGTGTATACACTACAAACCCTTTCATGTTATAAATATCAATTAACTAAATTGTGTTTTTATTTTTTAAAGGTTGCAGTTGACAATAAGAAAAGTGATCAGAGGATCTCTCCTGTAAGTTACCATTTAAATAAGTACATGCTGTAGAAATTACTGAAACTTAAGGTCTTTAAGTGTGAGTATTTCTATTATATAGACAAATAATTTTAATTATACTCATTAATGAAATAAAATTTCAAACCTGAATACACACGTTAAGTATTTCATTATTACAGTGTCAACTGTCTGTATAAGTGCCAGTGTGGATTACTATCTTAATGAATAATTTTTCTTTCTTTTCAGGACACTTCAATGGATCTACTTGACGATGGGGACAATTAGTACAAGTGCAATGAGATATCGAATAACAAGGCTATCATTCTACTTGTGTGTATTAATCGCAACTGAAACTATTCATTAATCCTAAAGAATTAATTTACCGAAATCTTGTAAACTGTTTTCCTTTAACTCAAAAAAATCAAATATAATTTTTTCCGGTAAAAAACCTTAATTTGACTTTTGAGTTG